CAAACTTTAAGGGGATTTTTTTTATCACATAACATTTATAAACTGCTCACAATCATAGCCTGCAATAAAAACATCCGATTTCGCAATACTTTTAATGTCTTCATAACACAACAAAATTATTATAAACCATTACCTCATCATGGCACAGTTAATAATTATAACATTTTTAATAATAATTTCCCAAAGAATCTATACCAGGATTATTTTTTTTAATTCAAAAATTCGTATGTTTGAAAGCTTTGAAAAGTGTAAAAAATCACTAAAACTGCAGTTATATATTATATTATATCTACTTCTTTTTTTACTTCTTATATCAAATAATTGGTTTGTTGGCACCTAAAATTTTAAAAAAGGTACAACATTTATATCAATGAATTAATCTGGGGAACAGCTTAAAAAAACCCTTTCATATTTAAAGCCAGGTATACTAACCACTAGAGTCTAGACCATACGGGATATTTTTTATATTAAACAAAACTGTTTATTATCCCGCTCGCGCGATTATATTTGAATTATATAGAAAAAAACAAAGAAAACTTTTTTCTATATCAGTAAATTTCCAACAAAAATAGTTTTTGGATATTTCAAGAACTTTAAGTAAGCCAGGACTTTTCCTGTTTACCATTTGGAAAGGGGGAAAATGTAGGCTCTATAAAATGTTTATTAAAATATTTCAAAAATTGGAACCCTACTCTTTAAAAATGAATAAGTCGAAAATGACTAATTGTCATAGCGAAAAAGCAACCACTAATAATTCTCTTTAAAAGCAATTTGTATCCCGAACATTTAGCAGTCAATTTCCATGTAAGATTGTCCCCTGAATTCGAAAAAGTCGCCAAAAGTTAAAAAAGTAGAACAGTTTTTGAGATATAGTCAATTTTCCATATAATATGGAGGTGACTATATCACAAAAACTGCTCTACTTTCTTAATTTTTGAAGAGATTTTCGGATTCAGGGAACCATTTTAGAAGAATTGGCTGTTAAATGTTGGGTTACCATGGTACCCCATGGTTAACCATGGTATAAGTGAAAAAGCAGTCACTAATAACTGTAGTAATTAGTCATTTTTGACTAATTCATTTTTGGAAATTAAATTTGAAATAATCATTAGTATAAAAATTACAAAACATATAAGTAATAAAAAAATTGATTCTCCTATAAACTTGTTGTTAGTTAGTCATGTTTTAGGAGCCGTCTAAAAAAATGAGCCCAATTTATTTGTTTTTTTTTAATTCCATAGAAATGTAATTAAATACAGCAGTGAAATACGAATTAATTATAAATGAAATGTATAAAATTGGCTCGAAAACTTCAAAATTTTCTAAATTTATGAGCAACCTTTAAAAGTTCATATTTTGAGCTGAAACTTTCAGAAACTTATGAGGCGCCGTTTGTCCGTAAATTATTTTTGCTATAGGTATATAAGATTTTAGTTCAGATAATGCCGCTTGAGAATGAGGGCGCTTTGTGGTATTCAACTAAAAAGCACTGTTGCCAGAGTGTGCCAATGCAAAGTTTTGGTCAGTGTTTCCAACATAACTGATCTTCGGGCATATCTAGCGGAACAAAATGATAGCAAAAAGTATAGGATTTTAGTTTTTTTAAATACTTATAGCTAATATATTGATCGATTGGTCTATTTTTATTGAAGAAAACATGTCTCTTCTTTGGCCGTCTCTATTTCTCTAAATAAACACGGCTTCGTTTTTACTAATAGGTATTTAAAAAAACTAAAATTTCTTACGTTTTGCTTCTCTTGTCAGTTTATAAAAAAAACAAAGAATTTTTTTTGAACTTAAAACCTAACCTAACCTTAAAGTTGTTCTCCTATAAATTTTGTAAAATGTGACTTGCAACCCCTGGTTTTTAGGTGGCGATAATTTGGCAAAAATCTCATACAACAAAATATCAAAAAAATTTTAAAATCTTGGTTTTCCGAAAAAGCTAAACCACGTCCAGAGAAATCTTAAAAATCGTTGCAGGAAGATAACGACCGACATATTATCAATACGTTAGCATTACTCGAAAAAATCGCGGATATCATAACAATTTATCCGCCAAATTGGCGTATAAACACAAGGAAGCGCAATCCTCCTGTTGTAAGGTGGCATCATCATCATCGGGAACGATGCTATAATATAAATCGTGACATTAATGAATAAACAACATTTTACTGATTTTTGTTCGCACACATTACAAATTATGCGGAGCATAATGGGCATGAATTGCTTATTACCACATATGCCCACCCAAGTGAGATATGTCTTTTATAGTTCCGACATTTGTAAATATGGATTAATTTTAAAGCTATATTTTAGAAATGTAATATGTTACGATTTTTATTACATTTGGATTTTCCAACAAATACCCAGTTGGTTCTTGACGCTAGAAGCGGTCGGACGCGTCAACTTGACGCGTCCGACCGCTTCTTTACGTTTGTATCGTATACGCTACTTAGGAGGGATCTATCTTGACGCCGTCAAGATAGATCCCTCCTAAGTAGCGTATACGATACAAACGTAAAGTACCAAAAACGAAACAAGGTATCCGGAAATATCGGTAATCGTTAATAAATAAATAAATAAACAAAGAAGTGCGAGAAGTTCGAAAAGTACAACAAGTGCGAAAATTATGGGATAACGCCGTAAAAGTGTGCAAGTGAATAAGTAATTAAGGCTAGGAACAACGGACAGCCCGCGAAAGACAAAGCATCAGGATTATAGCCTAATAATCAAGCTAAGTAATTTTTCTAATTGCATGTCTTACCGTATAATCGTGAAATGTTTATATAAGCATTTCACAATGTTGCCAAAAAATCTAAGAATTCTTTATTTGTCTCAAAAACTAAATTTTAAAAAAATAAGTGTTAAATAAACAACCTCATTTTCTCATGGTAGACAAATCATAAACAACCATTGAAAAAGGCGTAAGAGTAAATAAACCAAATCAAGCAAGAAGACAAAAATTTATATTATAAATAAGTGTTGTGTTTGAATAGGTAATATTGTATATGCATTTAGGGTTACAGCCATAAATCAATCAAAGCCAAATAAATACACAGAAGATAAGAAGAACGACCAACTCAATAGCCATTGCAGGCCATATGGCCGCATTCCATTACATACACTACAGGGCCGGCTTTATCTATTTTGTATATTGGTATTTACATTGAAGTGATTGATTAATTAATTAGTAAATTAATTGATTGATTGATTGGTATTGATATTATTGGTGTTGGTATTGGTATTGATATTAATATTATTGGTATTATAGATATTGATATTAATATTAATATTGATTGATTAATTGGTTAATTGGTATTGATTATTTGCATTAATTGGTATTAGTATTGTTATTGACTAATTGATATTTATATTGAATTTATGTGGATACTAATTTAACAATAAAATAAATAAGGAATATACAAGGTGGGTAGCCGATACTTGGCAGGAGGAATATCCACCAAGGGAGAGGGCACCCACGGTGTGCCAGGGCCGTCAACACTTCGCTACGGAAGACAAGACTCAGTATCACACAGGGGGGCAAACAAGTCAAAAGAGGTTACCAGGAACCTGATACTGACTCGGACAGAGATGTTCAGAAATACACCAACAAGGACAGGTTCTAGCAGCGTACTAACACTTCTACCCCCATTCATGAATCCCAATTGAATGGGGTTATTACTAAGGCCTAGGTTGAGGAGGATTCCGGATTGTACTTAGTTTTGGGTCAGTTCAATGTCCTCCAAAAACCCTTCCTAAACTGGACGTATGGCCCGACCCGGCTGACAAAAATCCGGGAGCGGCCTTAACCTTTGACTGTCATCCACGACCTCCTAGGGTGGATCTACCAGCCGGCGTAAAAACCGGATCCAACAACACAGGTAATGCTGTGATTTGGCGGGATACGCAGGAGAACCGAAAGGGGGTAAAATAACCCCGGAAGATTAGTGGAGGATAATATATTTGGGGCCTGCCATACGTTCCCATACTCGTACTCATACTTAAGTAGATACCAATGTAACATTAATCCACTTAAAAGTTTGGACAAAATTGCATTTTTTATTGTTTATTTTTACAATTAAATATTTCGGAGATAATAATTTAGAAAATTAATTAATACTTAATCGTAATATACCTATAGAATTTATAGTCTAAAAATTGTTGTGTATGATAAGTCTAGCTAAACATTATATGGTCACAATAGACAATTAAAAAAAATACTGTGGCCGGCAGTAAACTAGATTTAACGGATGAAGCATTAACTATTTCGGGTGGAGTGCCCATAAAACATTTTCTTTTATTTTACTGTGAAAAACTGCTTTTATATCGGATTCAAACGGTTGTTTGTTTGCCGCCAGTAATAAATATAGTCTATGTAAACTTCAGCCAACAGCAGGTGTTGGATATTATTGGATATTATTATACTATAAGTGTTGGATATTAACCAACCATTTTCAGATTAATTTTCTAAATAAATATCGACAAAATATTTAAAAGTAAAAATAATTAATATAAATAAACAAATTTTGGGTGAATTATTTTTGCATTGGTATCTACTCTAATACAAAACTTGAATGTTTTTTAAAAATTTTGTGGATTAAAATATATTTTTTCTTCTTGTTACGCCTAGTACTACTTTTTCCCTTTAAAATCCTTTTTCAATTTTTTCAATATTCTTTATTTTTTTCGAGAAATCTTTAGTTGAAATTAATGGGTTTGGTTTGGATTCAAATTTGATTTCTCGAAGAGAAAAAGTATTTCAAATAGCAAGAGTAGTATTTTTAGATGGCATAACGAGTTTTGTGGTAAAAAACTATTTCGTGATGTTACTTTTGAGTAAAAATACTTCAAAAACCGGACAAAATCACCCGCATTTTATAACAAACGATGTTCTCCTTAGATCAAGAAGTGGTGTTCCAATGTCGTGACGAAGGCCCGCTCAGAGCAAGAGTAAAATGGGTGAGAGAGAACAACCGACCGCTTCCTTCCGGTTCCAGAGATATTAACGGAAGATTGGAAATGCCAGAAATTAAAGTCGAACACGGCGGAACTTACATATGTCAAGTTTTTGGCTCTTATTCTCCATCGCAAGGAGAGCAGACCATCCCTGTACATTTGAAAGTGAACAAATGTAAGTATAACATTGTTAACTGATCTTTTTCGTGTAAGGTTGTTAATTGATTTTTGTTGTTTGATTGCTCTGTCCAGTCGGATTTAGACCTTTTAAGTACAATAGCTTTTATACGAGTTTATATGAAGCAGGTACTATACTCAATAATTTTAACTTTAACATAATTGTCATGAAAATATTTTTTTCTTAATTTTCTGCCTAATAAATAATAATGTTAAGTAAATAATAATAATATTACCTAAATGTTAATATGATTTATTTATTTTTTCTTATTTTTGTTTTTGTTTTCAGGGGCACGACCACAACCACCACCACGTCCAGAATGTGCCAGTCCCTTCCAAACTCGTTGTGCTAACGGGGAGTGTATTAATAAATCTCAAGTTTGCAATAATGTATGGGATTGTACTGATGGCTCAGATGAAAGTAGATGCAGTAAGTTACATAATATATTTATTAATAATCATTTTATTATCACCCGTTAAGCTTGTCATAATTTAATCCAGGGCTTATTTTAGCCTATCTTCGTGTAAGTTATTTTTAATCTATATATTTTTTAGATCCTGACGGTTCATGCGATCCCAACGAGTTCACCTGCAGTAACAAAAAATGCGTCTTGGTGACATGGGTGTGCGACGGAGACGATGATTGTGGTGATGGAAGCGACGAACAAAGTTGCCCCGTGGCGCCTCCAAACAGCACGTGCCAGAATCACCAGTTCGAATGCGCCAACAAGGCCCAATGCATACCCAAGGGATACCATTGCGATATGGATAACGACTGTACCGATGGAAGTGACGAATGGGGATGTGGTAAGTGTTTTTCAACAATATTTTAAGCATAGATTAAAACAGTTCTAGGTCGAATAAGATAAAAAATTGACCTAGTTAAGTACCAATATATCTCTTGTTGTTTATAGGTAAGCAATTTTTTATGTTTTGTTCACATCTAAACGTTTTTTCCTAGCCTCTCCTGTTATCTCAAGACCTCCTCAACCAATGGTTACATTGCCACCAGGGGAAACTTTCACAGTAAATTGTACAGCCGTCGGTGTTCCAGTACCACAAATAGTGTGGCGTTTGAATTGGAAACACATTCCCGAAAAATGTTCATTCACCAACGATAAAGGTACTAGCGTTTTGACGTGTCCAGATATTCAGGAACAAGATCAAGGAGCATATTCTTGCGAGTCCATTAACATTAAGGGTTCCAAGTTTGCTACACCCGATACTATTTTGATTGTGCAAGGGGAGAAAGTATGTAGACTTGGTTACTTCAACGCAGCAGCCAGGGATGCTACTGAGTGTATTAAGTGTTTCTGTTTTGGTCATGCTGTTACATGTAGATCTGCAGATCTATACATATTCCAGTTACCAGCACCTTTCGCCACCTTAAACCTATTGGGTGTAAGTGTGAACCCCAATAATGAAGATGTTCAAGTTAGAGATGAACCAATTTACAGAGGCGTAAAACCTTCGTTAAATGCAGTAGGTCGCAATGGAGTACAAGTATCGTTACCACCTCATATTCAATCCGATCAGGACAATTTATACCCTTACTTTACAATGCCTGAAAACTATCACGGACCACAACTTAACAGCTACGGCGGATATCTCAGATATAACATCGAGCATTCAAACAGAGGTTATCCTAGTAGAGGCCCTGATGTTATTCTTTCTGGTAAGGGTTACACCCTCCTACACGAATCCAGACAAGAAAGACCAAGAGAATTCGTCACCACGCGTATGGAAGTCAGATTCTTTGCTGGGGAATGGATGAAAGTTGAAAATGGACGTCAAAAACCCGCTACAAGAGAGGAAATCATGATGACTCTTGCCAACGTAGAGAACATTCTATTGAAAGTGAAATACAACGAAGAAGGCCAGTTGAACACTACCATCAGGAATATAGAGATGGACTCAGCTGCTTCTCCAAACTTAGGACTTGGTGCAGCCAGCTATGTTGAGGAATGCAGCTGCCCAGCTGGTTATACTGGACATTCTTGCGAGGTAAGTTATCTTTTTAGTTTGTCTTCTATCCAAATGGTAGTCATTTCAGTTTGTCATCTTTTTGTCTAGTCATTATAATTTTTGATTCTCCTTATTTAAGGTCGTCATCTTTTTAGCTTGTCTTAATTCTATATTGTCCTAATAATTTAAGCTTCTCTAGATTAAAACTTATCGTCATTTTGGCTTGTCACCATTTCAGCTTCTTTGCATTTAAGCTTGTACAAGGACGTCCTCCTTTTAGCTTGTCATTATTTAGATTTGTTTTCATTTTAACTTGTTTACTGTGACATTTTCTTTAGTTGTTTGAGCCAGTTTCCGGAAAGTTTCTTAAAATTTGCCCGAAAGTAACAAGAAGATGTTTTCGTCCGTTTTGCGGCATATGCGTCAGAAATAGGACCACACTTCGACGGCAACAACTTTCACCAACCATTATTTTTAAAAACAGAAGGGAAATTTTACAGTTTCTTCTCTTGTTTTTCTAAGAAATGGTTTCTAACAACTTGTCCAAATGTTAAAAAACTTGTTCTAGAAACAGTTTGTAGAATTTTGACAAAACATGTTGTGCAACTATTTCTGACATGTTTCTAGCGGATTGCGAGAAATGCTAGCCCCTTTTGGTTTCCGTCACATTTACACTAACGTTACAAAAATGTCATCAGGAGAGTAGTTTCTTTCAAATTTCCACATGGGTTATTGGGCTGTTTATTATTTTAGCCTCATCATTTTTCTTTGTCAATATTTCTCAATATTTTAGCTTATCATTATTTTATCTTATCACCATTTTAGCTTGTCATATAGACAAGCTTAAATATATTAAGCTTGTCCTCATTGAAGCTTGTCCTATTTTAATTAAGCTTGCCATCATTTTAACTTGTTGCCCTTTTAGCTTCTCCTCATTTAAGCTTGTCCTCCTTTTTGATTTATCATCATTTTACTTATTCATTATTTTAGCCCAATTATTTTTGTTTCTCCTTTTTTAAGGGTATCATTCTTTTTGTTATCGTTTTAGTTTATCCTCTAAAATTGCCATCATTTTAGCTTATCCTTATTAAGGTTTATCGTACTTTTAGCTTGTCAATATTTTAGCCTTTCCTCATCTAAGCTTCCCATTATTTTAGCACGTCATCAATTTAAAACTATAATTATTACCTACTTTTTGCTGCAGAAATGTACTGATGGTTTTGTAAGATCCAAAAATGGCCCATGGTTAGGCCAATGCATAGAAGTGACTCGTCAAGAATGCCAACCAGGCGAATACGGAGACCCATCAAGAAATATACCATGCGAACCTTGCCCATGTCCATTCACCAACCCGGGACAACAGTTTGCAAGGACTTGTTCGCTGCATTCTGACGGCGATGTTCTATGTCATTGCCAACCTGGTTATCAAGGCAGAAGATGTGAAGTTTGTGCACCTGGGTACCAGGGTAATCCCTTGAGTGGTGGTACCTGTACTCCTGAGACACCTAGAACGTGCAGTGCTGGGGCTATACAAACTGCCGATGGACGTTGTGAATGCAAGGTATAGTATTTTATTAGGTCTTAGCTGATCATTTTTATTACAACGTTTTTGTTATCTTTATCACGCTTGAACTTTACTAATACAATAACGTAAGTATTTTGGCTTATTAACATATACCGAAAAAATATATAAAATCTTGTTAAAATAAGTGATAAATATATTAATTTCTTTAAGCTGTTCACCACCGGACCAACTTGTTCTGAATGTAAGCCAAACTCCTTCCATCTCAGCAGCAATAACGATTTTGGATGTATACCTTGTCACTGTATGGACATTACAGGTCAATGTTCAAGTTCCACATGGTTCAGAGAAAAGATCTACTCCCAATTCGCAAGATCCAATCAAGAATTTAATCTCGTCGAAAAAGAAGACCTTGGCTCACCTTTGCCTGTAGATTTCAACGCTACAAACAGAGCCATTACATACGGTGCGTTCCAAAGTTCGAAGACGTACTATTGGTCGCTACCTTCGAGGTATCTAGGAAACAAAATAACTGCTTACGGAGGCAAATTGCGGTACAAATTGAAACATAGTCCGGTTCCTGGTGGCCAATCGTCCAGAAATTCAGCTCCTGATGTTTTATTGGTCAGCGCTGATAACAATATAAAGTCGATGTATTTCTCTAAGGAACAACCTGATCCGTCCAACCAACCGCAAACGTTTGAAGTACCGATGTTTGAGCAGTACTGGCAAAGACACGATGGACAAAATATTAACAGAGAGCATTTATTGGCGACTTTGGCGGATTTATCCGGAATTTACATCAAGGCTACTTACTACACAAACACCAGAGAAGCTTCGTTGATAGAAGTATCTCTAGAAATCGCAGTGGATAGAAATACGGGTCTTGAAAGAGCATATGCAGTAGAACAGTGCCAATGCCCTGCGGGTTACAAAGGATTATCTTGTGAAGATTGCAACGTTGGTTACAGCAGGATCATAAGTGGGCAATGTAAACCATGCGAATGCAATGGAAACTCGAACGAATGCGATCCAGATTCCGGGGAGTGCAAGAATTGCAGAAATAACACCACTGGAGACTCTTGCGAGGATTGTTTACCTGGTTATGATGGCGATGCTTTAGTTGGCGATTGTAGACCTTCTGGAGGACCACAGATTGGATGTAGATGTGATCCCAGAGGATCTTTGTCTACTGATTGCTCTTATGGCACCTGTAGATGCAAGGTAAGTTTAAAAGAGTTAGCCTGACAATATCTCATCATAATCTTTCCAGAATAATGTCGAAGGGCCAAACTGCGATACTTGTAAGTCAAATACGTTTGGTCTAAGCGCTAACAAATCACAAGGGTGTGATGTTTGCTTCTGCTTCGGTATCAACACTTACTGCGTTGAAAGTAACTTATACGTTGAGCAAATACCGAGTCAAATTTTCGATGAGAGCCAACACGGATTTATCCTAACAGACATGTAAATATAACCAACATATCGCAAGTAACATTCTAAAATTTAATATTTAGGGATCGTCTTGATAGAATTAACTCCAACTTCCAAATTTACCCGGCTATGAATGAAATTTCCTACACGTTTGGACCAGGTGAAAGAACCACGTGGTTTTGGTCGCTACCATCACCCTTTACAGGAAACCACATAACTTCTTATGGAGGTAGATTGGAATTCACTCAAAGATACACTCAATACCCTGGAGGAAGACACGTCCAAGACAGAGACGTCATCATCAACGGCCGCAAAATATCTTTGATCTGGACCAACCCTAATGAAAAATACGACAATAACAGAAATGTATTTTAACTTGATATACCCGGCATTTTTACTTTTAATAACCATGTTTATTTTAGCTTGTCTCGGTCGTCTTATTACCAGAAGGAGGCTGGAGACGCATTGACCAAACTGGAACCACCATGGCGTCTCGTGAAGATCTTTTGACAGCTCTGTCAGATATTGATTCTATATTAATTAGAGCTTCGCAGTCCAGCAAGACCGAATCCACATTTATAAGGTTTGTGTCTTCTTTTTAAAAAGTTCATCCTAAAACATCAAAACTGCCAACAAAAAGCACAAGTTAAATTAAAAGTTTAGGATATTTTAGACAGTTCTAGATTAACACCAAAAAAATGCATAAAAAGTCCTGAAAATTTATTTTTTTTAATTTTTTCTTTGGTCCGTTTTTCGCGGCCGATATACAGGGTGTTATAAAAAAACACTTTGTAAAATCTAAAGATCCTATCGGTATCGGTAGGTAATTTGGAACAAAAAATGTTTTATACATTTTGGTCAAATCTGAATTTTTGATTTTATTAAATATTAACGATAATGAAATTAAATTGTAAATCCAACAACATTGCAGCGATTAACAAAAACACGTGGAAATTGCCATGCATGAAAAAAAAACTAAATAACATTACCTTGCATTTTTTAAGCATTCCCAAACACAACATTCATACTCAGTGGGTATTACTCACTAAAGAAATACATATCAATATTTAACAGAAATTCTAATTTTGAATTTTAACTATAAATCATTTTTTATGGTGTTATTAATGGATAACAATCAATTAACCAATTAATTGTTGTGATAATCCTAAAAATTATTTCATAAGATGAAACATTAAACATTCTGTACATCAGACCTAATTTATATAATTAAGGTAAACCTAATATTTTAAAGTTTAAAAACTCAATACCTTTTTAAATATTAAAGGTCAATTATTTTTAACAATTTTCTGGGATTCCCCACCAAGATGGTGCGCGACTTCTGTGATACCCTGTATTAAGTTAATTTGACAATAAAAGTTTGAAAGAGAAAAAAATAAAAAAGTAGTACCTATTATTAGTCATTAGTCAATTTAATAATAAAAATCATTTTTTCCAAAAACCAAGTATTTTTAAGAACGAAATGCAAATCCAATTTATTTTATCATAAATTCAGTATCCTATCCTCTAGACCATACGGGATATACTTATATAAAAGCTTTTATATTAAACAAAACTTATTATTAAGTTTTTATAAGTAGCTCAAGTGGGCTTTGCTGCGCGCGCGGAGTTGTGCAGCTACTTATAAAGCTTATAATAATATTAATTTTTTTCAATATAAAAACGTGGCGTGCCAATTATTTTATGGTTATTTATATCATGCATTACGCCATCTAATCAACGTTGTCAAATAGCATTAAAATTGTTATTTTATCAGTTTTTATTAAGCAAAAGTTGTTCCAAATGGATATCCTAGCTAGATTTACTAAAGTGTTTCCATATCTCCCTGTATAGCAAATTTTGTACAAGTAGGTATCTATTACACAAATATTCTCGAGTAGGTATTTTAGGAAAATTAATTTAGCGTTTGTTAGTTTAAAAATTAAAATATCATCAATACATTTTCTTCTGTCACATACATTTTTTAATTGTAGTCTCTTGCAAACCAATTTTTTATATCCTGCTACCTTAACGGAAATTTCCATTATAAACATTAAAAATAAAATATTTTGAACCCGTTCAATTTTATCGATGAAGATGTTACCCCTATCTGAGATCGTACCAATGAGGAGTATAGGATATTGTACCAGCTAACACTGTTAAAGTCACGCGTACTCAAAAGTTTGTTAGCTTTATTTGTGATTGTTATTATTTTAGCATTTCATCATTTTACCCATTATATATCCTTTAAAACCTCATATTATTATACAACTTAAACCCTTAAATTTTGTCCTAAATTCTTTTAGTGACTTGGTCTTGGACACAGCTGTCGAACAGCCAACAACCAAAGGCAGAGCGACCTACGTGGAAAAGTGTGGCTGCCCTAAAGGTTACAGAGGAACTTCCTGTGAATCTTGCGCTTCCGGTTACTACCGCGACGTGAATGATTACAGTCAACCTTTGGGATCGTGTAAAAGGTGTCCATGCAACGGAAACGAGCAAGGCTGCTCTGTGGGACCAGATGGTGTAGTTCAATGTCATTGCAAACCAGGTTACGGCGGACAACAGTGCTTACCAGGTAATAATATATATAGAGTGCACCTATATTTTTTGCATGGTTTTTGCATGATTCAATTTTTTATTTTTAATACGCAGGAACTTTAGTTTTGGAGCCGACTTTTATAGTGCGACTTTATGGATCGAAAGTAAATTTCACGTGTACATACTACGGCGATTTTAATTACGAATTCATTGTATCGCCCCCGCGTTTAAACTTGAACCCTACTATATTGAAGGATAAACTTAAAACGCAACTTCTATACGAGCTAGAGGTCAAACAGTGCCTGGTCAATGTAACGTGTTCTTTGCTATATAAAAACGGCACCTTTTTCCAACATGTGACTTCGCAGTTATACCCAGGTTTGAAACAACGAAGTATCATCGAGTAGTACATGTTGCTGCATGTCTGCAAAATTCTTGTTATTAGTTAGTTAGATCGACGTAGAATCATGAAATGTTCAACGATATTATCACATTGTTAATTAACTTATACTAATACTAATAGACATTGCTTTATGTTTTGTTGTAGGAAATCGTGAAGATTTACATACTAAAACTATTCATTAATACAAAATGTTTACTTTGAAATCTCTTACAAAAATAACAATTTTAGGACCAGCAAATGACCCAGGTCCTATTATAATAACTACCCCGGCTCCCCCTACAATCTTAGTCAGCATTTCTACCCCAGCAATTGCTATTTTCGCTGTGGGTGGTACAGTGAGATACAATTGCTCGGCACAATCAGTGCAATATCCTAGAGTAATAAACTCTGTTGTAATTACAATAAAAATATTTAAAAAAATATTTTTTAGACCGTCAAAGTTATATGGAACAAAGAAGACACACCATCTCTACCGGATAGAGCCATTGACAATGGTAAAGGTATTTTAACAATCACAGACCTTAGGGAAACCGATTCTGGAAACTACATTTGCGAAGCCTATGATGGTTACAACATTGTTACCAGTCATGTAAAACTTGTTGTTGGAGGTAAGTTATCTATATCTTTAGTGAATATATTTGTACTAATATAATTTGTCAGTTTTCTTGCTTAACTCTTTGGATAGACCAGGTATATTAAAACACAATAGTTCTAAGTACATGTACTGCACTTTTTTATTTTATAAACATGATTTTAAGACAGTTTTAAATTTAGGTCATATTAAACAGTTAAGCCGCACGCGTGCTTTTACATTGATGGTTGTGTGAGGCTTCAATTTACTTACAATTTCATATGTATATATCCTCCCATGAAATATTTTAACAGATTTTAAAAATAAAGGTTAAGAAAACTTACCGGTGTCTCACCGTTTCACAAATTCACGTCATTTAAATTTTTTACACAACTATTTTTAATATTTTAACCTATTATAAACCATTTTTTTTCTTCAAATATTTTATGTTTTTACATAATACAAAAAATATGCTTGAAGAAAATAACAATTTAAATTTTTTTTAAGTAAAAAAAAATATTTATGGAATTAATTTTTGATTTTTTTTTAATAAAACAACAGATTTGTATTTATCTTATATTAAATATATATTGAAAACATGTCTTGATCTTTTAGTTTGACGATTATATATTGCTTTCGAATCTATAGTGGTATCACAACCTAAAAAAGACCACTTGATATACATGGTGTTTCACATTCGTGGTCCATTGGAAGTTTCTGTGGAACGGAAAAAAATATCGTTTTGAAATTTAAAAGCGTTTATAATCATTTTTTTTTAAATATTTTGAACAAAATGCCACTGACCGGAACTTTGTTATTTCAAATAAAACTCCCCATATATTTTTACATTTTTAAATTCTACATACAATTCTGAGTATTTACTATACCAAAAGTAAATAGTTTTCGAGTTCCCTATAGGTACCTAAAGTTAATAGTTCAGTACAGGGTGTTTCATTTAAAATAAAAAAGTTATTAACGTTTCAAGTTAGCCTAATTTGCCCTGGGTTTTCTTGGGTAATGTTAAAGAATTGACATGGAATCTTTTTAACAATGTTTTAAGATGCCAAAAATTCCACCCCCATTTCGCAAACCTAATAGCAATTATAGGCTATTTTTGATTGTCGCGCATTTGTCAAATTTTAACGAAAAAATTAATAACTCGAAAACTATTCACTGTAGGTATGGGACATGGTAGAATAATTTTACTCAAAATTTTAGTAGAATTTAAAACGAAGATGATATCACTTCCTGTCAAACCGGAAGTGGCATTTTGTTTAAAATATTTCGGAAAAATAGGCTTAATTGAATAATAAACGCCTTTATTATTCAATTATTCAATTTCAAATCGATATCTTTTGCCGTTCCTCAGAAACTTTTAATGGACCACGAACGTAAAACACCCGTATTTCGTAAATGTGCAACACCCTGTATATAATTAAAATATTTTAAAATAAATAAATAATTTTAATGGTTGTCCATTTATTCAGTGAATAAATTTTTCTTAAAAATATACAGTCTAGCTGTTATATAAGCTGTTATAATGTAATATAATATTATTATGTGCCGAATACCGTGGATAACATTTTTATGACTATATACGACATGATTGTGATTTTTTTCATTTTATTAATTAATTAAGCTGTGTTGAATATTTTTCCTAAAGGAATAATTGCCAATGGGCCATTAATTCATTTGTTCGTAGATGCTACAATAACCTCCACTGGTGTGTACTTTTGCATCAACCAGATTTAAATATTACAAAACTAACATATACCAGTGGAGATAGTGCAGGGTCTACCAACAGACCTAATTACTAAATTATTAAAGTTTAATAGCATATCGATCGTTTTTTCAACATAACCTCTGAAATTTTTAATACAAATATAGGTACTTTATATAATACATAAATATACTTAACATCATATCTGTGCTTTACATACCTGAGTTGTTACGGTAAATAAAAATCAGACAAAGGAACCAAAGAACTATTTTCAACAAAATCATATGCAGAAAGGAGAAAATTCAAACTACTTGCATCCATCAAAAGATCAAAACTTCTTGCAATATTACACCCTTTTTTTATAGTCTCAGAAATTTTGACTAGAACAGTATTAGAGAGACTCCAGTTTCTATAACTTGGTAGAGTAAAGAGAAGTCGAAACCGTTGCGATATTGCATTGCGCTGTTTTTGTATAATTCTCGGGGACATTAACGAAAATCATTGCCAGTAAAATTCGACAAGCTTTAGTTTCTATGTCTCTGAGGAGAATAGGAATAGAAAATCAAAATAATGTATCTTGTAAGACACCATTGAGTTTGACTTTAAATATAGTCGTGCATAGGTATAGAGCCGAAAAATATAAAAACAAAGCACGATTCAATACAGTTATGATAAAACTTTAAGATTTGATATTCAAACGCGGAGTCATCCTATACACTTCTATAATTTTCCGTTTGCTGTGTGGTCAATGTAACATGTTCTTTGCTATATAAAAACGGCACTTTTTTCCAACATGTGACTTCGCAGTTATACCCAGGTTTGAAACAACGAAGTATCATCGAGTAGTACATGTTAAACTGTCTGCAAAATTTTTGTTATTAGTTAGTTAGATCGACGTAGAATCATGAAATGTTCAACGATATTATCACATTGTTAATTAACTTATACTAATACTAATAGACATTGCTTTATGTTTTGTTGTAGGAAATCGTGAAGATTTACATACTAAAACTATTCATTAATACAAAATGTTTACTTTGAAATCTCTTACGAAAATAACAATTTTAGGACCAGCAAATGACCCAGGTCCTATTATAATAACTACCCCGGCTCCCCCTACAATCTTAGTCAGCATTTCTACCCCAGCAATTGCTATTTTCGCTGTGGGTGGTACAGTGAGATACAATTGCTCGGCACAATCAGTGCAATATCCTAGAGTAATAAACTCTGTTGTAATTACAATAAAAATATTTAAAAAAATATTTTTTAGATCGTCAAAGTTTTATGGAACAAAGAAGACACACCATCTCTACCGGATAGAGCCATTGACAATGGTAAAGGTATTTTAACAATCACAGACCTTAGGGAAACCGATTCTGGAAACTACATTTGCGAAGCCTATGATGGTTACAACATTGTTACCAGTCATGTAAAACTTGTTGTTGGAGGTAAGTTATCTATATCTTTAGTGAATATATTTGTACTAATATAATTTGTCAGTTTTCTTGCTTAACTCTTTGGATAGACCAGGTATATTAAAACACAATAGTTCTAAGTACATGTACTGCACTTTTTGATTTTATAAACATGATTTTAAGACAGTTTTAAATTTAGGTCATATTAAACAGTTAAGCCGCACGCGTGCTTTTACATTGATGGTTGTGTGAGGCTTCAATTTACTTACAATTTCATATGTATATATCCTCCCATGAAATATTTTAACAGATTTTAAAAATAAAGGTTAAGAAAACTTACCGGTGTCTCACCGTTTCACAAATTCACGTCATTTAAATTTTTTACACAACTATTTTTAATATTTTAACCTATTATAAACCATTTTTTTTCTTCAAATATTTTATGTTTTTACATAATACAAAAAATATGCTTGAAGAAAATAACAATTTAAATTTTTTTTAAGTAAAAAAAAATATTTATGGAATTAATTTTTGATTTTTTTTTAATAAAACAACAGATTTGTATTTATCTTATATTAAATATATATTGAAAACATGTCTTGATCTTTTAGTTTGACGATTATATATTGCTTTCGAATCTATAGTGGTATCACAACCTAAAAAAGACCACTTGATATACATGGTGTTTCACATTCGTGGTCCATTGGAAGTTTCTGGGGAACGGAAAAAAATATCGTTTTGAAATTTAAAAGCGTTTATAATCATTTTTTTTTAAATATTTTGAACAAAATGCCACTGACCGGAACTTTGTTATTTCAAATAAAACTCCCCATATATTTTTACATTTTTAAATTCTACATACAATTCTGAGTATTTACTATACCAAAAGTAAATAGTTTTCGAGTTCCCTATACCTAAAGTTAATAGTTCAGTACAGGGTGTTTCATTTAAAATAAAAAAGTTATTAACGTTTCAAGTTAGCCTAATTTGCCCTGGGTTTTCTTGGGTAATGTTAAAGAATTGACATGGAATCTTTTTAACAATGTTTTAAGATGCCAAAAATTCCACCCCCATTTCGGCAAACCTAATAGCAATTATAGGCTATTTTTGATTGTCGCGCATTTGTCAAATTTTAACGAAAAAATTAATAACTCGAAAACTATTCACTGTAGGTATGGGACATGGTAGAATAATTTTACTCAAAATTTTAGTAGAATTTAAAACGAAGATGATATCACTTCCTGTCAAACCGGAAGTGGCATTTTGTTTAAAATATTTCGGAAAAATAGGCTTAATTGAATAATAAACGCCTTTATTATTCAATTATTCAATTTCAAATCGATATCTTTTGCCGTTCCTCAGAAACTTTTAATGGACCACGAACGTAAAACACCCGTATTTCGTAAATGTGCAACACCCTGTATATAATTAAAATAGTTTAAAATAAATAAATAATTTTAATGGTTGTCCATTTATTCAGTGAATAAATTTTTCTTAAAAATATACAGTCTAGCTGTTATATAAGCTGTTATAATGTAATATAATATTGTTATGTGCCGAATACCGTGGATAACATTTTTATGACTATATACGACATGATTGTGATTTTTTTCATTTTATTAATTAATTAAGCTGTGTTGAATATTTTTCCTAAAGGAATAATTGCCAATGGGCCATTAATTCATTTGTTCGTAGATGCTACAATAACCTCCACTGGTGTGTACTTTTGCATCAACCAGATTTAAATATTACAAAACTAACATATACCAGTGGAGATAGTGCAGGGTCTACCAACAGACCTAATTACTAAATTATTAAAGTTTAATAGCATATCGATCGTTTTTTCAACATAACCTCTGAAATTTTTAATACAAATATAGGTACTTTATATAATACATAAATATACTTAACATCATATCTGTGCTTTACATACCTGAGTTGTTACGGTAAATAAAAATCAGACAAAGGAACCAAAGAACTATTTTCAACAAAATCATATGCAGAAAGGAGAAAATTCAAACTACTTGCATCCATCAAAAGATCAAAACTTCTTGCAATATTACACCCTTTTTTTATAGTCTCAGAAATTTTGACTAGAACAGTATTAGAGAGACTCCAGTTTCTATAACTTGGTAGAGTAAAGAGAAGTCGAAACCGTTGCGATATTGCATTGCGCTGTTTTTGTATAATTCTCGGGGACATTAACGAAAATCATTGCCAGTAAAATTCGAAAAGCTTTAGTTTCTATGTCTCTGAGGAGAATAGGAATAGAAAATCAAAATAATGTATCTTGTAAGACACCATTGAGTTTGACTTTAAATATAGTCGTGCATATATGCACGACTATATTTAAAGTCAAACTCAATGGTGTCTTACAAGATACCTATAGGTATAGAGCCGAAAAATATAAAAACAAAGCACGATTCAATACAGTTATGATAAAACTTTAAGATTTGATATTCAAACGCGGAGTCATCCTATACACTTCTATAATTTTCCGTTTGCTGTGTGGTCAATGTAACATGTTCTTTGCTATATAAAAACGGCACTTTTTTCCAACATGTGACTTCGCAGTTATACCCAGGTTTGAAACAACGAAGTATCATCGAGTAGTACATGTTAAACTGTCTGCAAAATTTTTGTTATTAGTTAGTTAGATCGACGTAGAATCATGAAATGTTCAACGATATTATCACATTGTTAATTAACTTATACTAATACTAATAGACATTGCTTTATGTTTTGTTGTAGGAAATCGTGAAGATTTACATACTAAAACTATTCATTAATACAAAATGTTTACTTTGAAATCTCTTACGAAAATAACAATTTTAGGACCAGCAAATGACCCAGGTCCTATTATAATAACTACCCCGGCTCCCCCTACAATCTTAGTCAGCATTTCTACCCCAGCAATTGCTATTTTCGCTGTGGGTGGTACAGTGAGATACAATTGCTCGGCACAATCAGTGCAATATCCTAGAGTAATAAACTCTGTTGTAATTACAATAAAAATATTTAAAAAAATATTTTTTAGATCGTCAAAGTTTTATGGAACAAAGAAGACACACCATCTCTACCGGATAGAGCCATTGACAATGGTAAAGGTATTTTAACAATCACAGACCTTAGGGAAACCGATTCTGGAAACTACATTTGCGAAGCCTATGATGGTTACAACATTGTTACCAGTCATGTAAAACTTGTTGTTGGAGGTAAGTTATCTATATCTTTAGTGAATATATTTGTACTAATATAATTTGTCAGTTTTCTTGCTTAACTCTTTGGATAGACCAGGTATATTAAAACACAATAGTTCTAAGTACATGTACTGCACTTTTTGATTTTATAAACATGATTTTAAGACAGTTTTAAATTTAGGTCATATTAAACAGTTAAGCCGCACGCGTGCTTTTACATTGATGGTTGTGTGAGGCTTCAATTTACTTACAATTTCATATGTATATATCCTCCCATGAAATATTTTAACAGATTTTAAAAATAAAGGTTAAGAAAACTTACCGGTGTCTCACCGTTTCACAAATTCACGTCATTTAAATTTTTTACACAACTATTTTTAATATTTTAACCTATTATAAACCATTTTTTTTCTTCAAATATTTTATGTTTTTACATAATACAAAAAATATGCTTGAAGAAAATAACAATTTAAATTTTTTTCAAGTAAAAAAAAATATTTATGGAATTAATTTTTGATTTTTTTTTAATAAAACAACAGATTTGTATTTATCTTATATTAAATATATATTGAAAACATGTCTTGATCTTTTAGTTTGACGATTATATATTGCTTTCGAATCTATAGTGGTATCACAACCTAAAAAAGACCACTTGATATACATGGTGTTTCACATTCGTGGTCCATTGGAAGTTTCTGGGGAACGGAAAAAAATATCGTTTTAAAATTTAAAAGCGTTTATAATCAATTTTTTTTAAATATTTTGAACAAAATGCCACTGACCGGAACTTTGTTATTTCAAATAAAACTCCCCATATATTTTTACATTTTTAAATTCTACATACAATTCTGAGTATTTACTATACCAAAAGTAAATAGTTTTCGAGTTCCCTATACCTAAAGTTAATAGTTCAGTACAGGGTGTTTCATTTAAAATAAAAAAGTTATTAACGTTTCAAGTTAGCCTAATTTGCCCTGGGTTTTCTTGGGTAATGTTAAAGAATTGACATGGAATCTTTTTAACAATGTTTTAAGATGCCAAAAATTCCACCCCCATTTCGGCAATCCTAATAGCAATTATAGGCTATTTTTGATTGTCGCGCATTTGTCAAATTTTAACGAAAAAAATTAATAACTCGAAAACTATTCACTGTAGGTATGGGACATGGTAGAATAATTTTACTCAAAATTTTAGTAGAATTTAAAACGAAGATGATTTCACTTCCTGTCAAACGGGAAGTGGCATTTTGTTTAAAATATTTCGGAAAAATAGGCTTAACTGAATAATAAACGCCTTTATTATTCAATTATTCAATTTCAAATCGATATCTTTTGCCGTTCCTCAGAAACTTTTAATGGACCACGAACGTAAAACACCCGTATTTCGTAAATGTGCAACACCCTGTATATAATTAAAATATTTTAAAATAAATAAATAATTTTAATGGTTGTCCATTTATTCAGTGAATAAATTTTTCTTAAAAATATACAGTCTAGCTGTTATATAAGCTGTTATAATGTAATATAATATTATTATGTGCCGAATACCGTGGATAACATTTTTATGACTGCACGTTGTTTTTTTTTTCTATACAGATGACACACAGGTGACACACCCGATAAGTTGATACTTTTTTTACTCTTCGTAAACATTTTTGTAGCTCTCATGTTTTGCCCGTCCTATGGTATTAAAAGGAACATCTTTATCCTACTCTTTGTACTAGCTTGGTACCAAAATGCAAAAGTTTAATATTTTTGGACATTTTCTTACTTTATGCATGCCAAAATTTGTAAAAAGATTTTGATAGGTACCTACTTTAATGAAAATCTTAATGTTTTTAACATTTGTACATTAATATGTTTTGTTTTGGGAACTCTAACATGGCTTATTGTTACTATAATTTATTAATCCACATTGTTTGTTTCAATCGCTTCTACTAACTTTGGAATAGGTAAAAGACCAGGTAGGTACAAAGAGATTTAACATTATTCTCAAGCTTCTTTAAATATTGCACATTATACTAACATTATTTACAATATTGAAGGTGAAGATCAGTCATCATCAAATCCAGGATACAAAGATTTATACCCGCGTCAACGTCATCACCAAAGAGTTGTTTCCGCAGTAGGACGTCCAGCTCAACTAAAATGCAGAGTAGACAACCGTATTGGTAACATTCGACATTAATTGCAATAAATATTTTTATTATCATTTTTTTCAGAACAAACAGATATTATTTGGTTACGCGGTAATAATTCTTCTATACCCAGAGAAGCTTACATCAAACAAGACACGTTATATTTCGATAATGCTCAGCCTTCATCAGCTGGCAAATACAAATGTATTGGATTAGATTCTCAAACTAAAAGAGAGTTGTTCATGTTCTCTTGGTATTTGGACATTATTTGTAAGTCGATTAACATCATTTAATTACCCAAAAATCCTAACCAAAATCACTTTAGCTCCACCGAGGATAACTCTTGACCCAGTAAGGCAGGTTGTGAGTCCCGGCCAGGACGCTTCGATTCAATGTACAGCAGTTGGTGATCAACCAATGCAAATCTGGTGGACACCCATGAATCGCAGCATGCCTTCTTCTGTCACCACAAAAGACGGTTTCATGCAATTTAGCAGAATTCAGTTCCAAGATCAGGGCAGATACGTTTGCAGGGCTAGAAACAGCGCTGGTGAAGCTGATGCCACAGCTGATGTCATTGTAGAAGGTAAGTTATATTTTTTATTAACATTTATATTAATTAATTATTATAAAATTAACATATTCTTCTATTATGTTTGTGTTAAATATTAATTCAAATTTTTCAATATTAGTAATTATCCTAATGTAAAATATTTGGTATTTCGTGAACTACTTAAGCAATGTTGTTTAAACTTAAAAAGCATAATACCAAATAAGTGATCATCCTTTAAGGGGATGATAGTATACGCCAAAATAAGAAAGTTTTTGCATTAGTGCCATTTTTTTTAAATAAAGTAAAATAGAAAACAACCGAATCGGTTGAACCGATGCAAAATATGCTTGCACAGTGGGCAATAATTTACATTCATTAAAAATTTACATTTGTGTTATCATTAAGTACTTTTTTGATAATTGTTTTTTGTTTTGCATACTCAGCTATTTTTAGGTTTTTTAAATAAAACAAAAAAACTCACCTTTCACTTTTTACGTCGATTGTTGCTTATGTAGCTATTTTTTTAAGTGTTCCACTAAATCAAATTAAATGCTCAACTATCCTTCCATTATTATCCACAAAAAGTTGAAAGCGGCGTAGAAAATTATGATGTGTCGCTCTTGCTATCATATCCGGATGATTTCGGATTTCAACTGCCGCTACAGTGGTTCTAATATATCAACTTCGCTCTGGTTTAGGACCAGCAAATGACCCAGCTCCTGATACAAACACTACCCCGGCTCCCCCTACAATCTTAGTCAGCATTTCTACCCCAGGAATTGCTATTTTCGCTGTGGGAGGCACAGTGAGATACAATTGCTCGGCAAAATCAATGCAATATCCTAGAGTAATAAACGTTGTAGTAATTACAATTAAAATATTTAAAAAAATATTTTTTAGACCTTCAAAGTTTTATGGAACAAAGAAGACACACCATCTCTACCGGATAGAGCCATTGACGATGGTAAAGGTATTTTAACAATCACAGACCTTAGGGAAACTGATTCTGGAAACTACATTTGCAAAGCCTACGATGATTATAACATTGTTACCATTCATGTAAAACTTGTTGTTGGAGGTAAGTTATCTGTTTCTTTAGTGAATATATTTGTACTAATGTAATTTGTCAGTTTTCTTGCTTAACTCTTTGGATAGACCAGGTATATTAAAACAATAGTTTTAAGTACATGTACTGCACTTTTTTATTTTATAAACATGATTTTAAGACAGTTTTAAATTTAGGTCATATTAAACAGTTAAGCCGCACGCGTGCTTTTACATTGATGGTTGTGTGAGCCCTCAATTTACTTACAATTTCATATGTGACCCTGCAATTGTGAATGTATAACACAGTTCAACACGATTTTCCTCCCATGAAATATTTTAACAGATTTTAAAAATAAAGGTTAAGAAAACGTACCGGTGTCTCACCGTTTCACAAATTCACGTCATTTAAATTTTTTACACAACTATTCTTAATATTTTAACCTATTATAAACCATTTTTTTTTCTTCAAATATTTTATGTTTTTACATAATACAAAAATTATGCTTGAAGAAAATAACAATTTAAATTTTTTTTAAGTAAAAAAAATATTTATGGCATTAATTTTTGATTTTTTTTTTATAAAACAACAGATTTGTATTTATCTTATATTAAATATATATTGAAAACATATCTTGATCTTTTAGTTTGACGATTATACATTGCTTTCGAATCTATAGTGGTATCACAACCTAAAAAACACCACTTGATATACATGGTGTTTCACATTCGTGGTCCATTGGAAGTTTCTGGGGAACGGAAAAAAATATCGATTTGAAATTTAAAAGCGTTTATAATCAATTTTTTTTAAATATTTTGAACAAAATGCCACTGACCGGAACTTTGTTATTTCAAATAAAACTCCCCATATATTTTTACATTTTTAAATTCTACATACAATTCTGAGTATTTACTATACCAAAAGTAAATAGTTTTCGAGTTCCCTATACCTAAAGTTAATGGTTAATAGTACAGGGTGTTTCATTTAAAATAAAAAAGTTATTAACGTTTCAAGTTAGCCTAATTTGCCCTGGGTTTTCTTGGGTAATGTTAAAGAATTGACATGGAATCTTTTTAACAATGTTTTAAGATGCCAAAAATTCCACCCCCATTTCGGCAATCCTAATAGCAATTATAGGCTATTTTTGATTGTCGCGCATTTGTCAAATTTTAACGAAAAAAATTAATAACTCGAAAACTATTCACTGTAGGTATGGGACATAGTAGAATAATTTTACTCAAAATTTTAGTAGAATTTAAAACAAAGATGATATCACATCCGGTCAAACCGGAAGTGGCATTTTGTTTAAAATATTTCAGAAAAATAGGCTTAATTGAATAATAAACGCCTTTATTATTCAATTATTCAATTTCAAATCGATATCTTTTGACGTTCCTCAGAAACTTTTAATGGACCACGAACGTAAAACACCCGTATTTCGTAAATGTGCAACACCCTGTATATAATTAAAATATTTTTAAATAAAAAAATAATTTTAATGGTTGTCCATTTATTCAGTGAATAAATTTTTCTTAAAAATATACAGTCTAGCTGTTATCTAAGCTGTTATAATGTAATATAATATTATTATGTGCCGAATACCGTGGATAACATTTTTATGACTGCGCGTTGTTTTTTTTCTATACAAATGACATACCGAATAAGTTGTCATCCTTTAAGGGGATGACAATTTATTGGGTGACACACTGTATATCGGAGTGATGGGCTTCCATATTACCACCCTATTAAAAATAGCAGGTATAGAGTACATTTTCCTTTTTAGAATCTCGCGACAGCACACCTCGCACTGCTGTAAACAAAGGCTACGTAAGAGCCTTAAGCTGTGTAAAATTATATATATGTATACAGAATTAAAATAATATATTTTCAAAAGTAATAAAATGGTATGTTTAATTTTTAAAAATAATGTATACTTCCTTGCTTGTTTATATTCTTTATTTGCGACTAGTTTCGGTTATATATAACCTACACCATCTTCAGGCAAACTACAAATAATGAGGTATTAAATAAATATTTAAAAGATTTTAAAGTTAGGTTAAGTTATTTTGGTTAAAATATTTGTTAATTACGATTATTATAAATATAGGTAGTTAAAAATGTAAAATTAGTATCTACTTACAATGTCAAGTTTTAAAATATGAGTTAAAATAGAATAATATATTACGAACATAGAAGTTTTAAACAATTTTTACACTTTATAAATAAATGTTTTTTGTGGTAGCTGTGAGATGTTGGTTGTGGTCTTACAGGTGTTTGAAAATAGGTTCAAAATATAATTCTACTTGTTCGTTTAGTAGGTTACATTTGTCTTTGTTTTTGTTTATTTCATAGGCTTCTAGAAGTGTTAGTTTTATTCCTTTTTCTTCTTGATGTAGGTAATATTTTTATATTTTTCCAGTCTTCAAATTTATGTCCGCTTGATTGTAGATTTCTTCCAAAGTTTGATGTTTTGGTATCTTTTATGTGTTCTTTAATTCTTGTTTTTATACTTCTTCCTGTTTCCCCAATATATTTTGCATCGCATTCTTCGCATGTTATGCAGTATACTCCGTTTTTATCGAGATAATGTGTATTGTCTTTTCCGTTTTTTAGGCAGTTGATAAGGTTTTCTTTTTGTGATGTTGCGCAGGTGATTTTGTATTTTTTAAGTATTTTTGCTATTTTATTGTTTATATTTCCCTGATATGAAAATTTTTTATAAGTATGTTCTTTGGTTTTATCAGTGAGGTTCAAGAGGTGTTTGTTTAAAATTATTTTTTCTTGTTTTTTAATTATTTTCTCGATAGTAGATAAAGGAAAGTTATTTTCTGATGCCATTTGTTTGATGATGTTAAGTTCGTTTTCTTTGTTGTTTTGGTTCATTGGGATGTTTAAAGCTCGGTGTGTCCACAGTTTCATATACCGAGCTTTAAACATCCCAATGAACCAAAACAACAAAGAAAACGAACTTAACATCATCAAACAAATGGCATCAGAAAATAACTTTCCCTTATCTACTATCGAGAAAATAATTAAAAAACAAGAAAAAATACTTTTAAACAAACACCTCTTGAACCTCACTGATAAAACCAAAGAACATACTTATAAAAAATTTTCATATCAGGGAAATATAAACAATAAAATAGCAAAAATACTTAAAAAATACAAAATCACCTGCGCAACATCACAAAAAGAAAACCTTATCAACTGCCTAAAAAACGGAAAAGACAATACACATTATCTCGATAAAAACGGAGTATACTGCATAACATGCGAAGAATGCGATGCAAAATATATTGGGGAAACAGGAAGAAGTATAAAAACAAGAATTAAAGAACACATAAAAGATACCAAAACATCAAACTTTGGAAGAAATCTACAATGAAGCGGACATAAATTTGAAGACTGGAAAAATATAAAAATATTACATCAAGAAGAAAAAGGAATAAAACTAACACTTCTAGAAGCCTATGAAATAAACAAAAACAAAGACAAATGTAACCTACTATACGAACAAGTAGAATTATATTTTGAACCTATTTTCAAACACCTGTAAGACCACAACCAACATCTCACAGCTACCACAAAAAACATTTATTTATAAAGTGTAAAAATTGTTTAAAACTTCTATGTTCGTAATATATTATTCTATTTTAACTCATATTTTAAAACTTGACATTGTAAGTAGATACTAATTTTACATTTTTAACTACCTATATTTATAATAATCGTAATTAACAAATATTTTAACCAAAATAACTTAACCTAACTTTAAAATCTTTTAAATATTTATTTAATACCTCATTATTTGTAGTTTGCCTGAAGATGGTGTAGGTATAACCGAAACTAGTCGCAAATAAAGAATATAAACAAGCAAGGAAGTATACATTATTATTAAAAATTAAACATTCCATAAACCTTGCTAAAAATAGATTACCAAAACCTAATGAAAAATAATAAAATGGTATTTGATTGTTTAAAATGTATCCCCAACAAATAACAAGGCCATTCAGAGGATGTCCTCAGGACATCCCATTCCTGGACCTACATATACCCATGGGACTTTCAGGGGACATCCTTAGGATGTCCTTTCCTGGACCTATATGGACCTAGGGATATCCCTAGGATATCCTAAAGGCCATTTGCGGGACGTCTGTAGGCTGGCCTTTTTTGCACCACTCGGCCATGGTTGGGATGTCCTGAGGAGGTCTGAGGACGTCCTAGGATATCCTTGGGATATCCCAATATCATGTAAGGCTTTCCCTAGGACGTCCTTAGGACAGACTTGTGCTAGCTGGGTAGGTCTCTTGTTTGACGTATAAAATTGCCCACTAAAGACCAGCTTATCATTAATTTATGTTAAAACGCTTGAAATACACACTAGCAAATGCAAATTATAACTGAATGGTCGCTTAAAGAAATCCGCAATCTGGGGAGGGGCATTTGGGGAGGTGCATCTGGGAAGGGGCGATCGGCTCCACTCGGCTTCCCTCGAGTGTATATGTTTCAAATGAATTTGCGGTATATGCAAAAACGTTCTATCTGTTGATCTGTTGTTGCGTGAAAAAAATCATAAACAGACAAAAATAAACACGCATTTATTTATGACAAATACAAGGATATCGTTTTGCTTTTACAGAAAATGTTCAAGGTCCGGTTATAATAGCAAACAAAAAACAATTGAGAGCCTATGTAGGCACAAACACGGAGCTGCGTTGCCAAGCCCAAGACCCCAACGCTAGAATCAAATGGTACAGAGAATCCACAGTTTTGCCGATTAATTCCAGAGTAGACAGAGGTTCCTTGACCCTGTACAACGTTCAGCCTGAAGATGGCGGCAGATATTACTGCGAAATCGAAGGCGAACAATCGAACGATTTCACCGACTTGATCATAGTCAGTGAGTATACAGGGCGTTTCAGATATACTGCCAACAAACGAAAGTCTCAAATTTTGGAAACAATTGGAATTAAAAATATGTTCTGAATTCTGAATATCTATTCTTGACATTAATACGGAAGTTTTAATTCTTTTAATTTAAAGTATGTTTTGACTTTCATATTTTTTATTTCTAATTTTTTTTTTAATTTATTTAAAGCTAAAATTGTCTTCAGGATTTAAGATTTTTGTTTGCCAGCATTGTTACAATACATGTTTAGTATAATGTTATATCTAAATCTAATCTAAAGATAGTAAAGGCAAGTATAGATTTCAATTAAATGTTGTGACGTGATTATGTTAGATTCCGAAGAATTCGTGTGCCGGAGTTTGGAGTGCATAGTATGCCCAAGTACAAGTTGTGCGATTCAGTACCGGATTGTCGCGACGGAAGCGACGAAAAGTTTTGCCCGGCCAGGATACGACGTGGTTTGTTTTATTGATACTTTTTTTACTCTTCGTAAACATTTTTGTAGCTCTCATGTTTTGCCCGTCCTATGGTATTAAAAGGAACATCTTTATCCTACTCTTTGTACTAGCTTGGTACCAAAATGCAAAAGTTTAATATTTTTGGACATTTTCTTACTTTGTGCATGCCCAAATTTGTAAAAAGATTTTGATAGGTACTTTAATGAAAATCTTAATGTTTTTGACATTCTGAAGTATTTTTATCTATTTTGCGTTCATAATGACTTTATTGTAACACCGCTTTCAGTGCTGTAATGAGGTAATTTACCCCACCCAAAATTTTAATTTTATAGGTTGGCTACTTTAAACAACATACTAGTAAAATAATATTTTGCATATTGGTTATAATATTTTTATGATTTTTCTAGTACTTACGAGACTTTTTTGGCAATACATTTTGTTTAACGCCTTTTTTTCTTCTTTAACATTAACAGCCGCTTATTGTAAATAAGTAAATTAAGGACGCCATGGCAAATCGATTTTGACATTAACCCTTTAAACCAATGACTGTGATAGGTACCAACTATATAAATTAAAATTCGTCCAAATTAAATATAAGGTATAAAATTATTTTTTTTTATTAAATTTTTGCAAAATAGATAAAATAGCATAAAGAATTTATGTCATAAGACCTTTTTTCGTCCTCGTGCGACAAAATGACGTCGTATTACATTAGTTCTTTAATATACTATTTTAACATTCTTAAATATGTTTAAACCTTTTTTGAATAGGGTTTTGAAATTAGTAAGAATTTTAAAATAAACGGTTTAAAAATTTTGAACATTAAAAAAAGTCCATTGCATTTTGGTGTCAATTTGTTGTTATTGCAGAATGTAGCTTTTTTACAGTGCCCCCTAATGATATCAAGGCTTTACATGTATAACTAACCAACATTGATATTTTAAAAACTTTTGCTTTGATCCCACTTTTTAATGCAAAAAAGTCTGTTTTTGGTAGGTACTTTTGTAGAAAAAAAGTTTAAAGACAATATTTTTATGTTAATAGGGAAACAAATTTTCTGGGATCTTAGAAAAAGCTATCGTGTTTTCAGAATACTGCATATTTCGTATTTGTTAAGCATTATTTCAAATAATAATATTAGTTAAAAACTAACATGTATATTCGTTCTAACTTTTATTAGCTTGATGAGTATTTTTAACAGACCTGTATATAGAACCTGTATATAAGTAAGTTGTTCAACGAAATCGTCCAAGTTTGATTGTAATATTGTTACATTTAATGTAAAAATACTAAACAAAATGTATGGTATGGGCAAAGAAGTCTTTTGTTTGGTATTTAGTGTATATAAACCACTAAGCAACAATGTTGTCTAGTGTATATTGTATGAATAGTAGCAATTTTTACAGAAAATTTAGGTTTTATTTAAAAAAAAAATGTTAATACTTTGAATCAATCTTTAGCTATAGCTTTATGTATATCGTCTATGTACTACTACGCTTGATCATAATATTTCAAGACCTAATAATCTCAAACATCCTTTAAAAAAAACAACAAAAACCAAAGCATTTTTTTTAGGGCCTGCCCTTATCGAAGCTGCTCAACCAACCCTTGACATTTACCCAACCAAAGAAGATTACAGAGCGGGCGAAACAGTGCAAATTTCTTGTCACGCAAGCGAAAAAGGCGTAATTACAACTTGGTCCAAACCAGGCAGTTTTATATCTGAAAATGTGAAAATTGAAGGTTCAAATCTAATAATTTACGGTTTAAGACGGGAAAATGGCGGAAGATACAGATGCGAGGCTACCGGATACCAAGGGGTGTACCACAAGGATCAGTACATCAATGTTATTGGTAAGTTTTTTGTGTTCATTTTTTGCCTCATATGATTTTGTAAAATAGCAATATCCTTTAAATTTAAAAAGCATAATAACAATTAATACATCCTATTTCTTGCTACCAAAGTTGTTTGTTGTTTAACCAAAGTCTAAAAACATTCCAGGCCTTCAAAAGTATAATATTTACTAACCATCTACCACATAATCACTGTCACAAATAACGTTTGACTATTTTTTTATAAAAAATAAATTTGTTTCGGGTGTTACCATGGTTCTGTTTCGGGTTTTACAAGTACACAAATTAAACACTTTATAGGACAAAATCGGTGTTTTATTAGTCTTTCGGTACTACAAAATAAGTTAGAAACAAATAAACATAAATAGAATGAATTCCCCTTAAACATAACTTAAGCAGCTTCGGGTGCGATTGATAAATCGGCAAAAAGGGTAAAATCGTTATTATTGCCTCGGTAGAAACAGTTATTGACAGTTATTAACGAAAATCTAAGTATTCGGTATTTTGGTAGGTCGGTTGCCATTTAGGTAGAAATACCGATATTTCGGTAGATTCGACAACACCATCGGAAAAGCAGTCACACCTCTTGAAAAAAGTTGTAACACCCGAAACGTTTCGGGTTTCAGTTTTTAATCAAGAAAAACACATATCAAATTAGTCTCATGCTTAGATATTAGTTAGTATTTTAAATCATTACCACCATAACATTACTTTTTCTAAATATTGTTACACGAATCAATCTGTAAGGTATAATAATAAAACAATTACATGATTTTTTGTTTTTGGGTGTTACAGTGGCAAAGTAAGAAGAAAAAACGTGATAATTATTATTTCCAGATTATTTCTATAAAATTTTAATATTTTTTTGCAGAAGAACATAAAGACGAACCAAAAATCCAAACCAAAACAGCCGTGAGAGGTACCACCATACTACTGGACTGTAATGTCACATTACCAAGCCCTATAACATATTTGTGGACCAAACAGGGTGGCCAACTGCCTCAATCCGTCAATATATACAACAGATCCATAATTATTCATGACGTAGGAAGTAGCGATGCTGGTACTTACATTTGTGCAGCCAGCAGTGGAAATCAAAAGATAGAAACGCCCATTAAATTGACCGTCACTGGAATCGTACCATACTTTGCCCAAGCACCTAACAGCTACATATCACTACCAACGCTACCTGACGCGTTTGCTCAGTTCAGTTTCGAGATTTCGTTTAAACCAGAGAATGGACACGGGTTGATTCTCTACAACGGAGAAGGTGGTAATGACAGAAGCAAAGATTTTATATCGTTATCACTGGTTAATTCAGTGCCAGAATTCAAGTACAGTTTGGACCAAAATACCGTCACAGTATTGGGTGATAGACCAATTAGCAACAGACAATGGCACACAGTTAAAATCGTACGCAACAGACGTAAAGTACTTATGTACGTTGATGGAGAAGGTCCATTTATTGGAAATGCAGCTGGTAGACATATAGGTTTGAGCCTTAAGGAACCTCTTTACCTTGGTGGCGTACCAAACATGAACCAAATTCATCCAGACGTCAAAATGGACACAGGTTTCGTAGGATGTATAAGCCTCTTCAAAAACGGTCAAGCCCATTGGGATATCCAGAAGGAAGCCATAGAGAAGTACAAGATCACGTCGTGTGAAACTTGCGCTGAAAATAAGTGCCAGAATAACGGTGTTTGTCAGGAAAATTTGTCCAAGGAAGGCTACACTTGCTTGTGTTCAAATGCTTATAGCGGACCTACTTGCAATAAGCCCAAAGGACAAGCTTGTTCACCAAGTAAGTTTTATTTTAACAGTTCTAGTATTGATAGATTAAAACGTTATAATTACAACCATTTTTATCAAAATTTCATTCTTATAGCCTCTTCAGATTCTAAGATATCCAATATTAAATCTAGATAATAATCATCATGTAAAATATTTGGTTACTCTTAAAGTACTTAAGAAATATACTTTTAATTAAAGAGGCAACTCAGACAGAAATATGACGTTTTAATTAAGTCTGCATAAGCTATATTTTATAATTTGGACGTCAGATACAACATAAGAAATAAGTTTATAAGACTTTTTCTCAAAAAAGAACTCTTGAGGAACCCTTTCTTTGACTTCGCAATTAAGAACTTAAAGACTCCTTCCGTCTTAACTCATAAAAAGACTTAAACATGTCATTTTCAGAATTGTCTCTTCTTGATATTTGTTGTACTGTTGAAAAAATAACATACTGGATCGTTGGTTATTTTGATAAGTCTTGCTTATTATTGGAATTGCGATTACTTCGTCTCACTTTTGTTTAAATTTAAATAGACGGCCTGTTTCACTTTTTTGGAGCTCTTCAGTATCGGGTAGCCGTTTGCCTAGGTCTAAAACGTTTGTTGTGGAACACGCTCTAAATTCTACTTCGCCGCTTCTTGAATTAAACAAAAGCAGTTACAGCGGTAGGACGAAAGATATGATTTCAGTAAGAAGTAAGAAAAAAGAATACTGTTAAATATCATATAACTGAAGTCTTACTTATGATACCCTCAGTACCTTCTAATTTTGATTCCAATAAGACGTTAGCAAAAAATCTTCTTATTTATAAATTCATTAAGAGCTCTTAATCTTGAGCTCCTAAAAATGATTTTCCCAAGATGTCATATTGTGACCTCGGTAAGATGTTTTTTAACAGACTTTGTACAGAAATTTTTCTGATTTGGATGCTGTCTGGGTACCTAGTTCTATTTCATATTTTATCCAAATTTTAACTTTCTACCTTCTCCAGATTCTAAGATATCCAATACCATTAGATAATTTTCACAATGTAAAATATCTTTAAACTCGTGAACCACTTAGGCAATGAGATTTTGAGATATCAAGACCAAATCAAAATATTGTTTTAGTGATCTGTGGAAGCGGCAAATGCGTCGACACTGAAGCCAGCTTTGAATGCCATTGTCCTATAGGCTACTCAGGACCACGTTGCGAGAAAGAAATAACCGTGATTGAACCATCGTTTAAAAACAACGCCTACATCGCTTACCCAGCACCGAAAATCCAGCGCCACATCAAAATCATGATGAAGTTCAAGCCGAAAACCGTAGAGGACGGAATCTTGTTCTACGTAGCAGAAACTGAAGAAAAACACGGCGAATTCTTGTCCTTGGCCATCAAAGACAAGCATTTGGAGTTCAGATTCGATGCGGGCAGCGGAATGGTACTTTTGAGACAAGAAAACGAGTTGGTACCCGACGAATGGGCAGTTTTGACTGCCACAAGGTTCAGTCAGATGGCCAGGCTTGTGGTTAACGGTGCTTCAGTTATTCACAACGACAAAAACAGAAAGGTTTTGAATTTGTTCACGCCTGCTTATGTTGGCGGATACGACAAGGCTAGAGTCAAGTTGAACAGTGGAGTTGGAGTGGAAGATGGGTTCAATGGGTGCATATCTCAGGTAGGTTTTGCTTTTTTATTTGCAGTGTGTAAGCGTACAACCTCCCACTTTAACCTCCCAATTTAAGTGTACTTGATATCGATTTTCTACTTAATTGCCTAGCGTTTATGGTAAATCCCCTTTAAGAAATTTATTCAAATAATTAAATAAAATCAAGTACAACCCTGACATTTAGCTAGATAAAATCCAGTACAACCCTGACCTTTTAAATAGATAAAATCAAGTACAACCCTGCCCTTTTAATTCGATAAAATCAAGTAAAACCCTGCCCTTTTAATTAGATAAAATCAAGTACAACTCTGCCCGTTTAAATTAGATAAAATCAAATACAAAATGTTTACATTCACCAAATTTACATCTCTTGTTGGTTGCACCGGTTTTTCTCGAATGATTTCGCGTTCGGCACTATACGTAAATTACATTTTCCCGCAAAATTTAAATGTTAGTTTATTTACATAACTTTTTTAATACATTTTTAAACAATTGTGATCGTAATAACCCACAGATTGTTTAGTAGAGGAGGTTTTTGCAGATCTCCTCAAGTGTTTGGGTCCTTTCAAAGTCAACATTTTTTGATTTTTAGATAACCATTTCGGGTATGGACGATCCTAGCGCTTTGGTCTCAGGTGCCACTGATGCATCAAACGTAGAACAATGCATGGAAGAGGAAGAAGACTTCGACAACAACATCTACACACCGTCCGGCAACACCGAAGGTCATGACGTTACTTACACGCACACAGGGTGTTCCAGCAATCCCTGTCAACACGGTGAATGCTTCCCCCTATCGCCTGTAGACTACCAGTGCAGTTGTAAGCAAGGGTATAGGTAAGTGGTGTTAACTGGGGTGCCTAACTTATGGGATGATTTGTGGATTAATATTTTAGCGGAAAGAACTGCGATATTTTGAATTCGTGTCAAAATGATCCTTGTAAAAATGGAGGAACTTGCAGAGAAACATCTAGTTCATACACTTGTGACTGTCTTTTAGGATATACCGGAGGAGATTGTGACCAAAGTAGGAATTATTACTATAATAAAACTATTTTATATAAACAAATCATTTTTTAAGGAACTGAGCTGAGAAACGACGTACATTTCGATGGTGCGGGGTACTTGGAGTTCAGCAAGGAATTGTTGGAAGAAAAAGATACCAATACAGAGCAAATAATAGCGATGGAGTTGTCTACAAATCATAGCAATGGTTTAATATTTTGGCATGGTCAAAAACCAAATGAAGACGGTCAAGGCAAAGACTACATCTCTTTAGCCTTGGTAAATGGTTACTTGGAATATAGCTACGATTTAGGTTCAGGACCAGCTATCATAAGAAACTCCAAAGTCAAGGTGGATGACAATGAAAGACACAGCGTCATTCTGAAACGTCTTGGTCAAAGAGGATCGATAGAAATCGATCATCAATACATGGTAGACGGCGAATCTGAAGGATTACAAGGATTTTTAAACGCTCACGGCAATATTTACCTAGGAGGAACACCCAATATACCATTAATGACAAGCAATAGGGTGCAAACCGGTTTTGTGGGCTGCATCCATGGGTTTGAGCTTCAAGAATCTAGAACCATCGATTTAGGAGTTAAGGCCATTAATGGAGTCAACGCCAAGCCTTGTTCAAGGTAAGACAGTTATTATAAACGTGAAATTAGCCATGTTTTTTATTGAACCTCTTTGAAAATACGTTTTTCTTTTGACATTTCCAAATTTGAAATTTGTAGCTTGTCCAGATTCTCAGATATCCAATACCAAATCTGGATAATTATCATCATGTAAAATATCTGTTAACTCTTGAAGTACTCAAGTATTGTCCTTTTAATTTAGAAAGTATAATAAACAATTTATACATCCTCTTTTGTCCAAATTTGAACTTTCTAGCTTCTCCAGATTCTGAGATATCCAATACTAGTCATGTAATTTTATTTTTGATGACAATAAACTATTTCTTCTTCTTTTTCTTCTTCTACTAAATCTGGATAGTTGTCATCATGTTAAATATCTTCCAACTCTTACAGAGCTCAAGTAATGTCCTTTAAATTTAGGAATTATAAAAAACAATTTATACATCCTCTTTTGTCCAAATTGGATCTTTTTAGCTTCTCCAGATTCTGAGGTATCCAATACTAAATCTGAATAATTTTCATGATGTAAAATATCTGCTAACTCTTAATATATAATGAAGTAATATCCTTAAAGTTTAGAAAGTATAATAAATTATTTACACATCCTCTTTTGTCCAAATTTGAATTTTCCAACTTCCTCAGATTCTGAGATAACCAATACCAAATCTGAAATTTTTTATCATATAAAATAAATGGTAACTCGTAAACTACTAAAGGACATAAATTTAAAAAGCATAATATACAATGTATATATCCTATTTTGTCCAAATTTGAAATTTCTAGCTTCTCCAGATTCTGAGGTATCCAATACTAAATCTGAATAATTTTCATGATGTAAAATATCTGCTAACTCTTAATATATAATGAAGTAATATCCTTAAAGTTTAGAAAGTATAATAAATTATTTACACATCCTCTTTTGTCCAAATTTGAATTTTCCAACTTCCTCAGATTCTGAGATAACCAATACCAAATCTGAAATTTTTTATCATATAAAATAAATGGTAACTCGTAAACTACTAAAGGACATAAATTTAAAAAGCATAATATACAATGTATATATCCTATTTTGTCCAAATTTGAAATTTCTAGCTTATTCAGATTCTGAGATATCCAATACTAAGTTACCAGAGGTAACTCTTAAAGTACTCAAGTAATGTCCTTTAAATTTAGGAAGTATAATAAACTACATATTTATACATACTCTTTTGTCCAAATTTGAACTTTCCAGATTCCTCAGATTCTGAGATCAATAACAAATCTGAAATTTTTTTTATCATGTAAAATAAATGGTAACTCGTAAACTACTAAAACAATGTCCTTTAATATAAAAAGCATAATAAACAACTTATACATCCTATTTTGTCCAAATTTGAACTTTCTAGCTTCTTCAGATTCTGGGATATAAAATACCTACATACAAATTTATTTCCAAATCTATCACATTTTTAAAGAGTGGAAAAGGGTGAAAAATTACTAAGCTATATATGACTGCCTTAAGAATGTAAACTGAAGCTAGATATAAGTGTCTAAGGAATGTCTACTTGTAAGCATAGTATTTTCAGAGAGGTATGCAAAATGTTTCCTTTTACTAATAAACTAACATTTTTTTTTCACGCTAACAAAAAGGTTAAGATGGATACCGTCCTCCCTGATATTTTCGGATTCAGATCCGTTCGACGAAATTGTCGAACCACCACCTGTTAACATTATACATCCAAAACCATCCAGTTCTTCTGCAATTATTATTTCCTTCCCTCTTTTAATCGTTATATTTTTAACGCGGTTTTTCGTTTTCACATCTTGCATCTAAAAAATGCAACCGTTTAGCTTGTAGTCCATGTCACAAAACATATCATTTTATGTTTGGGTTTTTAATTTTTATGATTTTGAGATAGTTGTGTAAGATATTAGGTATTGTTGAATATAAATATATATTTTATTATATTGACGAAATACAGACTGATTCCTTTTTATATATGGCGAACGAGGATTGTGTGGCAGGTAAAGAAAAACACTAGACTAGACTTGATTTTTTTGTCGTGTCAGTCTTGTCTTGTTCATATAGTCTTGCATGTCTTAAATTGGACTGAAGAACAGACTAGACTGGGTATAAAACAAATTGCATATTCTGATAACTTTTGATAATAATGCCATTTGAGGTCAATATTAATCCAAAACTTTGATTATTCAACTTAAAAATCAAAAAAATTGTTTACGTTTTGACTATAGATCCTTGTTATTAGTACAAATTAACATTAATTGGAGTAAACATACCAATTAATTTTTTTTCCAGTTCTAGGTATGAGGGGAATATCGTTTAAGGTGACAGCTTCTTCTGAGCCCAGAAGACACCCATCATCTCATCTAGTTAGGTTATTATAGGCAGTTAAATTACAACATTTATGTTGGTTTTACTTATTTAAAATTCAGCGGTGAAATATCAGAACGCTGAGCGAATTAAAAAGCTGCCATTTATTTGAAAATATTGTCCATAGAGCTCTCGATCTGATATTTCGCGGCTTAGTGTTCAGTCTTTGTGTTCAATAAGTTTAACAAAAGACGCAAGTCAATATTTTCTGATAAGATTTATTTTTATATATTTAAAGAGGCTCCCCTAAATGGGGCCAATCTGCTTATAACATAGCTTTAATTTGCTTAAATGTTTCCTTTATACTGCCATTATGTACTACTTTTTTACATTTTCATAGAATAATTCTTTTTTTACGTAAGACTATCGTGCCATTCTTAGATAGTTCTAGGCAAATTGATTTAAATAAAGGACGTACTAAATTATCAATAAAGTAAAAAATATAATATTGAAAGTAGGTGCAGAAGGTCCAAATATAGCAAAACTTGTATAATGTAAACTTATTTTTAATGGTGCTAATTCTCATTGTATTGTAAAAATTTCTCGATTTTTTGTATTACTTGTTATGTGTGATGAAATCAATAAAAACAAAAACGTATCAATAAACGGTGATGTAATTAAGTAATTTTAATTTAAACAATTTGCCAGAATATCACTTCGTGAATAACAACGACGATGAAAAAATGATATTGTGGTGATTTAGCGGGGCATTTATTTTTAATTGTTAAAATATTACTCTGTACATACATTAATAAATGCCTTCCAATGTGCATTACTTGTAATTAACATATTTAAAATGCATTTTCAATAACCGAAGACAATAAATATTAAATACCGAACAACCGAGTTTTATTTAAAAAAACTTAACCACCCTAAAAAGTAGGTACAAATTAGGTAAATAAGTATTTTACTACATATACCTATAGGTAAGTAAACAATCAATAAAAACACGAGTTAAATTTAAAATATATTATAGGAATCTTGTAACATAAATATTTATACAAAATAAACAACTTTATTTAATCACTCGACATTTGGTATATTTACGATATTTATTTTTACGCTACAAAAAGTATTTTTGGCATAAATTATACAAATTTATTATTTTAACTTATAAGAAAAAATATATTCAAGGCATCAGGTGCCTCTTTAAAGTTAAGTACGAAAGTTTAACAAACTTTAAAACTAATTAGCTTTATGCATGGTAACAAAACAATATATATTAAGGTGTCTGTTATTATCCAAGTTGGGTGTTTTTACTTGGGTATTTTGTAAATTATTTGTTTCCGCCCAGCCTTAAACACGTTTTAATTACAAAAAAATCATAACTCGCCAATTAATGCAACATATACCTACAAAACATAATTTATAAAAGGTACCTATTTAATAGATTGATTCAATAAAATCGGAGGTCAAAATTTAAAATGAAAATTTTATTACGAACATTTTCTAAACAAATATTTTTTACATTGGTACCTAATGTTTAAATTATTAATTGGCAAGTTATGAGTTTTTTCTCATTTCATTTAACATATAAATCGTAAATGTTTTTTTCAAAAAAATGTTTAGGCTAAATAAATAACCCTAGTGAAAAAAGCTAAATAGTGAAATAACAGAAACCCTAAATACAGGGTGTTTTACTTTATGTATATGGCACACCCTGCATACCCAACTCTCTTTAAACAAGCCGCCCATAAATCGCATGGTTTTGGGAACCACGCGGGTAATTCTGCATGTTACCCATACTAGAAGTAAAACGTGTATTTCTCACAAACTGCGGATTATTTTGCACAGTCCCATATACGCCGTTTTGTGTGTGCTGAATGGTATTTTTGTGTTGAGGTTGGGCGTAACTTAACCTAATTTGTTGATGAACATTTCCCGGGTAGTCGTATATAGTACTGGCACTAGCACTAGCACCACTGATGGAAGGGGTGTACGATCTCCTTATGCTGTTCTGGGGATGATAGTAGGTTTGGTTGTTTTGCGGTGTTGGTCTTCTTATCCTGGGTCGTTGTTGCACGTATGGTCTGGCGTATTCATCGTCGGAATAGTAGACTTCATTTTGTTTGATTGGTACTAACATGTATCTAGAATTTATGGTACTACTACTAGCAGGTCTATTGTACTGCATTTGTGTAGGGTTTTCCATTAAGCTGCTCCTTCTAACGATGGGTACGTCTTCATAGATAGGGGAATATACTTCATCTGGGTAATATTGTCTAGTATTTCTTTGAGAAATAGGGGACATACTATTACTTTTCAGTTGGGAGTTCAAGTAACCGTGTATTCTTTGGTTGTACTCTAACTCCCTACTAAGTTCCTCCTCCTGCATTTTTCTTAATTCCCTCCAGTAGTATGCTTCCACGCTTTTCTTCATAAGATTTTTATTTGCTGGAGGGCTAGGTGTATATGGTATAGGGCTCATATCGTTTTGGTGTTGTAATTTAGCTATAGCATTTTGATCGTAGTTAAACACAAGTCCCTCTGGGTGATTGTGGTTTAAACTTCTGGTTTTAGCTAGTGGTTTCTTCTGAATTTGTTGGTCTTCGTTAAAAATAATCCTGTTGGTATTTTTAGTTGGGGTTCTAGGCCGTAATTGCTCTATGACTCTGTTGGAAGGTATTTTAAGCTTAGGTGAAGATACTACTTTTGTATTGTTTTCTATGTACACAGGTTTGGGATTTGGTGTTGGTTTTTCATGTTTTCTTATCGTCACAACATCTATAGTATCAAAAGTTTGTTTATTTTGAGGTCTTCTAGAGCTATGTTTAATTTCTTTTTGCGTTTCCACCTGTCTTTCCAAGTTATCTCTAATATCTTGCAATATTAAAGTCTTGGAGTCTCGTTTTATATCGTTATTGTTTTCCACGGGTTCATTCTCGAATCGATCTTTGATTTTGTTGAATTTTTGTATGTGGTTTTTGGCGTATCGCACCTCATCCTCTTTGGTGATTTTCTTCGTTGATTGTGGACTTAACGTGCTAAACTTCTTATCACTTTCATCACTGGGTTTTAACTTTGATGTGCTTGTTGTCGACTTGCTTCGTCTAAAAATAGAAAATACACCTCGTTTCTTCTCCATTACGAAATAAGATAACTCTTTTTCTATCTTATCTATGCTCGAAGACGAATCACTTTTGCGTATAACGGGAATGTCTGTTTCTTCTGCGAGGTCTGGTTTGGCGTAGTAACTTTTAAACGGGTACTTATCTTTCTTAGCTTCCGGTTTGTTCCGCCGATAGAGACTTTTTATTTTCACTTTCCTCGTCGCAATCTGCGGCTCTGGGTCACCACTTTTTTTGCCGATCACTTTATTAGCTATGCCGTCGCCTTTTTTGTTGAGTGCCTCAACAAGTCTGTTCATCTGGATAACGAGCCATATTATTAGGGCAACTAAAATGTAGAAATACTGTTTAAATTACAAAAGTATGTTCCGAACTGCACGAAATTGTGCCAATAGATTGATAAAAGTAATCTTATCAACGCTTTATTATTAAGTATTTGTGTTTGTAAAAATCAATATTGCGACAATTACACATGCTGATCCACAAACCCTTTCAAGCTAAACACGATAATGTGTTGGTGTATAAAAAGGTTGTGGATAAACCTATACAATAATAATAATTTATTAATAAAATAGAAATAGGTATATTTAATAAACTTACCATTATAAAATAATACGGGATCTTGTTAAAATTTAACACAAACAGCTAAAAATTCACATGACTCTGCGAATCGCGGTGTAGTTGATAAGTAAGACCTCGACCTTCATAATTGTAAATTAAAGTTTGCTCTGTTTAAAAAGCATTAGCGAGCTGACTAAATAAATTGCATCACGTTTCGAAACGTGTTCTGAGAGTTTTGTTTTGTTACTGGAACGAGTAAATGTATTTCGTTCGGGTGGGGCATGATTCTTGTTTCCTATGTTTATGAGGTTGTTTTTTTTTGTTCCAAATATAGGTAACGCTGTGCGCCGGTCTGACTTTACTTATTACGATTCAGACGTATCAGACACGTACGAGAGTGCTTACCTTTATTAGGGGAAATGTGGAGCATATTAATACGACTTGGTCTGATTTTTTCGTTAATTTTGTTATTAAATTCATTATTTTTAGAAAATTGTGAATTTAGTTTTTTGGGCTAGAAAGTAGTCTATTATCTAATTATGAGAAACGCAAATCTTAACTAATAATTTTTTTTACTCCCACGATTAAAACATGTTTCCATGACGCTAAGAGACCTTTTAAATACACATTGACAAGTTGTGGCTTTATGGCGTTTTAGTCACAGCCTGAAGATAGTTGACAGTTGTCAAATGTCATACAATCGTTAAAATAAAGTGCCCCTCTTGTTAAATAATAATAAATGTGAAAATTATTTTATTATCTCAATACAAAGTATTAAATAGTTTCTTGACGACAATAGCCTATTGACGCCTATTTGAAAAGATTATATGAACGTTTGTACACTCACAAATATGTACATGCACTGATAATGAAACTAATTTTGGGACAAAAACCTACGATTTGTCTAAGTAATGAGATTATTTTTATTTACAGAATAAACTTTTTTTACTGTTAATTCTCATTTACTATAATGAAGCAGCAATGTTGAGCTTTTATAAAAAAAATGTTCATCCAACAAAGTAATAGTTGTTATATTGTCATATGGCAATAAGAAATATGTACTTTATGTTTATATTAAATCTTTGTCGAACTTAAAATGTTTTTTTTTAAATCTATAGTTGTGTGTGAATTGCGCTTACATAAAGTAATGCGCAGTTGTTACTATAATAGTAAAATTTGTTCATTTTACTATGGCATATTTGTCTTTTTTAAATTACTATTATTTCAGTTAGAAAATCTTTGTAAATAGCTTACGTTAAGAACAATAACAAAAATATTGTATTGCTATAAAAAGACTTTTTTAATATTAACTATTGTTTTGGAATGGTAACAAAATTTTTGTTATTTCCCTTAAAAACAGGGGAAAAGGGCCAGCGCTCTCATTGGTGAACATAACATTATAATCCAGTCTGTGTTATAATATTATTGATTTCACTTGTGCGAGTGAAATGTGGTAAAATCTAGCATGATAAAAATATCAAAGAGATCACTAAGAAAATTAAAATTTCGACGTTTTCTAAAAGAAATATTTAAGGTCAATTCTATAAACGAAGCAGACTTGTTGTTTAAAAAGTGAGATCATATATTTTTTTTATTTTGTACATCATACTATACTGTGAGTTAATTTTTTTGTTATAGTAAATAATTTGTTTTAACGCCTTGCACTTATTTAAAAAAAACTACCCAACACCCAACATTAGGTTAAAAATGTGACAATTCTTACAATGAAAATAGTTTATTGAATTAACAATTAATTTGTTGTTAAATTTACATACATTTTATTAATATTATAAAAAAAGTTTTATTTTAAACGAAAAGGGATTTGTAAAATTTACAATATTTCTATGAATAATCCATTAGGGTTTCATCAATACTACAAAAAAATTTTGTAAACGGTATAGAACTGTTTTTTGGACAAATAATAATAACTATATTTATCAATGCGTTTCTGCATCTGGAAGAGTGTTATTTTTATAAACATAACGTAAATTTACTTTATAATTAATGCAAATGCTATTACTGAAAGCAGCGTTTGTAGATAAATAATTTTTATAAAAATTATCTTTTTGCCGTAACAAAAGCAATTGTTGGACGAATAGGGATCTTTACTATTCTTTACTTTTACTGTTAACAACTGCTTCTACCCAGAAAAATTTGACATTTTAACGCCGGTAGATTCCCAAGTTAGAAATTCTAACGTGAATTCCAATAAATACAACTGTCACTTTTTGTACCTTTAAAATTTCCCGTGATGGTATTCCACTGTTTTACTATATGATATACTCATACTTATATACTACTCATATACTACTCATATCAGATATACTGTAAATATATCTGATTTGACAATACCATAACAGATTCACTTTTTGCACTCAAAAATAAGAAAATTCAGTACACAAAAAATATCGGGTGTCACAGCCTGTGACTCACAGGGCTTTTATAAAAATAAAATCAACATTTTATCAACATTATAAAATAAATATGCAATGAACTGTAAATATTTTGAAAATATTTCCAGTTATTTTTGTGATGTTGAGGAAACATTACTAAAATAAAACATTTACAAAAATTTTGTGGAAAAATATTTTATATATACCAATAAACCATTTTAGAAGCATTTAAATAATAATTACTAATATTTCTAAAATATTTAGTTCATTTAGCAAAAATATTTTAAGTATATTTTTGTGTTATGTAGATAGTAAGCTCTAAGTAAGTTGACAGTTTGGTACTAGTTTATTTCCCCCCTCGAATCTTAATTTTTATTTTAATTTTTTTTTCGTAAAATATTTATTTACTGTAAAAATTGTCTTAAAATGGTACAAAAAATTTAAATGAAAAAATGCTAATAAATAAATAGTTGGGCAATCGTTTATTATACTACAACCTCATACAATGGCATTGTTAAAAAATCATTTACTAAAAACCTGTTTATTAATTAGTTTATCAAATTAGACCACAGCATAATTTGATAAATTATTAACAAAACAATGACCTAATAAATACGATAAAAAAACCGAATCAATTAATATTCATAGTATTAACTATCCAATCATAATAATAACTTATTTTTAAATATTTTCCTGGTAAAAAATTATCAGCACATTCTACATTTAAATTCGATGACAAACCGATTAAAAAACCATTATCGACCAGAGGATTGCCGATGTGGTACTGGCAAAAATTCATGCAAAAAACGTCATCATCAAATGTATTCAAAAGCGAAACATTTCCGTGGAATTTCTCATACGTAAGACGGCATTTCTCGTTTGAAATCATACTAAAATCGCTATCAAGAGATCTGTAATGACTCCAACCATACAGCTGTATTGAATCTAAAATTAATAAGGTCGTTAACTGTTGTGCATATGACGGTTTATGCAGAAAGGAATTAACCCACAGTATAAAAAAGTGTTGGTTCAATTCTGCACAGAGCCGTTGTGTGTTGAAACTTGAAAGCAATTACTTGAATTTATATTGGACCATTCTCTTTGCAGAATTATTAACTGCTCTGGGTATATGACGAACGGATTGTGGACTTTAATCAGCGAAATTGATTCCTTGATTAGCCCATTTTCGTGGCTGAATATTCTACGGATGAAATGTTTGTTTCCTGTTTGCCATTTTAGTGACCCCGAGGTGATGTGAAATAAATTAAAGTCTTCTTCTATTAAATCTATGCAAGATGTGGTTGTAACTGCCCAAAAATCGTTCACTATAGTGCACTCACATTGTAGAATATCATCGTCATCCACAATTTTGATGACGGCACCCAGAAAAATTATTTTTTCACGTTCACAAGTTGAGCATCTTTTTACTTTGATACTTTTATTTTCCGACCGGGCATCCAAACAGTTTTGTCTACCTATTTCTCCGCTGTGACGTAAGAAACTCGAATATGAAAGATTGAAACATAATAACAATGAATTCAGACATATTAAACATAGAAATATGGCTGATAGAAATTGTACTGACGCCATTGTGACAAACCTATAATTCAATCTTTTCTAAAACACACAATTTTAACTTTAATGGTAATATTTCTCGTTAAGTTGTTCTTTCTACCTTTTAAAGGTGTAAGTTTTGGTCCTACGATGATCTTATTGCTTGTCAAGCTTTTAAAGTCAGTTCGATTTTGATTCATTCGATATCGTATTTCGTAATTTTCCAAAGTTCTGTATAAACTTGCTGATCTTACCAGTAAAAATATCAGCAGTACAAAATTTACAGCTAAAACTATTATCAGAATTATGCAAATGCTTAACAACGCGTTTTTGGATGACATTTTTGACTTTTTTGACTTAATATAATATACAGGGGTACTTAAAACGCTTAAAACGCTTTAACTGTTATTACAACAAAAAATTTAAAACTTTTTCGTTTTGGAAAAAAATTACCTTACACAGAGGAAACTAATCTCTTGTTTTTACTATATTTAGCTTGGCTCAAATAAATTATTTATTTCGATATTTACAAGGAGATATTTATTTAGTGGAAAACTTGGGTTTATTTGACTTTTTAAACTGATATTTGGTTAATACAAGTAAATATCTAGTTGACTTTTTATCTCAGGTTTAGTAGAAGCTTATAAGTATACTTAAAGAAACAAAACCTACATCCAAACAATAAATAAATATTTCTTTACAATTAATCACAACAATAAGTTGTTTTCAAGAAACTTATGATTTTCAACTAAATAATAGTTTCAAAAAAATTAAATTAATATTTGTTATGCCCTTTATTTTGGCGTCACGGAAAAGACAACATTTATTCTTCCTACAATGAAAATTCGTAAAAAAATACAATCTATTTCGTATCATGTGACAAGCATAAAATATTCAATATTTGATTAATAGAAATAATATGTAATATATCTTATTTATAATAATTATAATTTTTTTAATAAAATTCCTATTTTGCCCAACTTTTTGAAAAATACCCATATTCAGGGCCGTAGCGACGGACTCAGGGGCCCCGGTGCAAAACTTTAGGATAGGATAGGATATCGAAAATTACGATTTTTTAGTAAAACTTTTTAGTTTTGGGGGCCCCTTTGAGGTCGGGGGCCCTGGTGCACCGCACCGCCTGCACCAGCCTCGCTACGGCCCTGCCCATATTATTTTATGTTTAAAAGTATTTTAAATCAATTTCAAACCAAATAAAGAAAAAATAGACAAAACATATTTTTTTTTATTTTTATTTTCTTTATTTCTAATTTTTTAAAGTTAGAACTATCTATTTAAGATATCAATTGATATTTATATAATATATGTATACATACATAGAAGAGTATTAATATTCAGGGGCGACATTTTATTTTATGGATCTGTAAGTCATATCTAAAGATATACCTACATAACCATATTTAATAAATTATAATTATATAGAGTTAAGCCGGTTAATTAATTATAGTTTAAGTTGGCTAAAAAGTTAAAAAGTAGTTAAAAAGGGTTAATAAAACAAAAACTAGCAAATATTACCTTCTTTTTAACATAATTGAATTTCCCAGTTATTGCAAAATAACATTAATTTAAGGTTATTTTAACGTTGTAACGTAATAATACAATAATACTTAAATAAAATAATAAATAATGAGGTAAATTTATCCTGGACAAAGTGGCTCAGAAAAAAATTAAATCTGGACCTTTTTAGGATATTCTTTAGATCAAAACACCCATACAAAATGTTCACCTTGATATCTAAAATTAGAACCATGTCAATGAAATTCATTGCAAGTACTTATCCAGTAAATCCCGGATTGCAAACAACCCCCACCCTTACCGAGACAACGAAAAGCGGTAAAAGAAGTAGAGAGGGGCAAAAACTAAAAAAAGTGCGCTTGACAAATGCACTTTGAATCTACGTAGTACGTACCAATATGCAATATACAGGGTTTTCTGAAAACGATTCGTTTCCAAGATACCGAGTGTTTTTTTAATTTATAATTTATAATGTCTACTTTTGATGTAATTAGATTTAATTTATTTATTCCAGTGGCGTCACAGCTGTTTTTGTTTTTGCCATTATTTTCTTTTGATATTTCGGCCATTTCAAGCATACGGACGGGACAAATCACTAAACTATTTTTATTAAACAAATTGTAGGTAATTTATTATATATTATTTTTGCATCAAAATTGTCAAAAATATTTTTCTTTTATAAGGCTATACATTAAATTAAAAAAATCAAGAAATATTTAATAAAAGTAGAGAAAATTTTAATAATTGACAGGTGTGGACGGGACAAGATAATTTTTTTTGTTCACCTTTCAATTATAAAAATTATCTCTATATACTTTTATATATTATTTCTTGCGTTTTTTTATTTAATGTATAGCCCAATAAAAGAAGAATATTTTTGACTGTTTTGATGCCAAAATATTATACAGGGTGAGTTTTAAGTTGACGCGTTCCTTTTAACAGCGTGTAGAAATCAGATAGACAAATAATAGTTATTTACGATATAAGTGGGATAAGAGCTTTATTAACGTACGCATGCGAAATTTGCCCAACGAGTGCGTAGCACGAGTTGGGCAATCGCAAAAGTACGTTAATAAAGCGTTATCACACGTATATTGTACAAATTTTTATCTACGCCTCTAAATGAAAAAATAAACGGTAATTATTTTTGTCTAAGACTTAATTTAGTGTTATTTTGACATTTTGACATTTTGACTTTTTTATTTGATTGGTTAAAAGCAGAGAAAAACGCGTGCGTTAATGAACTTCTTATCTTACTCAAAATGGGTGGGATAAGAAGTTCTTATCTCACTGGCGTAGATAAATATTTTAAGTAACTTTTTTATCAAAACTCAAAAATAAGCGAGATATAGCCCTTCAAAGTTTAATTAAATTTTGAACCGGTCCTGGCTATTGTTAACAAAAAACATAACCATAAAAATAAAAATAACAAAATAAACAATGCAAAATGTCATCTATGACCACAAACAACCATTTAAACCAAAATGACACATTTTCAACAATAATTGAGGCCCAAAAAAAACTTAAGTAAATAATGACATTTTTCATTGCTAAATGGTTATGTTTGTTGTCATAGATGACATTTTGCATTGTTTATTTTGTTATTTTTATTTTTATGGTTATGTTTTTTTGGTAACAATAGCCAGGACCGGCTCAAAATTTAATTAAATTTTGAAGGGCTATAACTCTCTTATTTTTGAGTTTTGATAAAAAAGTTACATAAAATATTTATTTGTCTATCTAATTTCTACACACTGTTAAAAGGAACGCGTGAACTTAAAACTCACCCTGTATAATAAATTATCTACAAATTTTTTATAAAAACAGTTTTGTAATTCGTAAAAATATAAAAAACCTTTTTGTTTTCTTACTGTTTTTCCATCTCGCTTCGTTTTTGAGAAAAACAAAATTTTATTTACAAATTATATACACGGCAAAGGGCGTGTGGGATAGGGCGTTCACCCCCTCAGTACAGATTCCGGCCGTGAGTCGATCGTAGCGCTCCTATCGATTATCCTTTTTTCCTTGCTATTACGTCACACAGGGATGCTGTACGGCGGCGTTGCCACACTGCACAGAAAATCCCAGAAACTCCGAAAAATGTAATTTGCTTTAAGACATTTTAAAGGCAATTTTTTGGGATGGTTTAACACCATTTTTGAAGTTTTTAAGAAATTTTAGACAATCTCATGGTTAAAAACATAATTTTTTTGGATATATTTAAGGAATATTGTTTTTAGGAAACAGTTAACTTTTAAGATATTTTCCTTTACATTTTCTATAGTTTAAGACAATTTTAGAATGACATATGCATGCATATATAGTAATTATTAAATTAAACTAAATATCATAGAAATTTGTATAAACAAAAAAATATATTCTAAGGGAAGGTATTTTAGGGGTGTGCGAAATCTGGCAACGCAGTGCCAAACCACCAGCAACTAGGAGAAATACACGAACACTTCGCAGTTAACGAAAATTAAAATCTTGAGCTTAAAATCGGTGTGGTTTTGTGTAAAATATATTTTAATACTATGTGTTGATTAAATGTTAGTGTTATTGTGCGGGTTTATATATTTTAGCCGCTGAAATGTTATTTTTTTTGTTGATGTTCAAATAGTTTAATATAGTGTTACCTCCCTTTTTGAGAGACGGATATTTTTGTTTGTTATTTAGAAAGGTAAGGGTGTGTTTTGGTGTAATTTTTTTGATGTTGTGTTAGGGGGCGTTACCCCTGATGAGTTTAAGTTTTACTAATTGATTATTCGAGGTAATAATTAAAGTTGGGAGCGGTTTATTGGTTTAGCACTTAAAAGCACTTAAACTTATCTAGTTTACTTAACTAATATGTATTACACAATTTTCATTTTTTTCTTGCAGATTTATTATTGTAATTCAAAATGTTGATTCGTTGGAAAAATAAGGATAAGGATAAATGTGACAAGGCCAATCAGAAACAGGCTTCTTCGAATAGTTTAAAGAAGAAACGGAAATATGGCAGGGACGGAGGTAGTAAGTTTTTAAAATGAGTTTAATAATTTAAACTAATTGATTTTTTGTTTAATTTTAGATGAGGAGGGGTGGAACTCGGATAGCAAGAGCAAAACGATGTCTTCTAATGAAGGTAAGTTAATTAATATAAATTTATTTTGAAGTGACCTAGGTCACTATCATTATAGCTATCATACATTTTTTAACATAGAATAGGTCAAAACCAAAACTTATTATACATAGTGTGGCAGAAAGGTTAAAGAAAATTTAACAGTGGATTTCTTACTAATAATAATAGATTTTTTATGTAAAGATATTTTGCCATAAAACATTATAAACAATAAAAATGACATTTTGTCCTTTATTACTTAAATTGGATATAATGCATTTTAGCGTTGTATACAACGCTATAGGACAGTATTCTCTACGGGTTTTCATTTCCATGTTACAGGGTTTTAAAAAAATTTCAAAAATAGTGTTTGATTAATAGGTGTAACTTTTGAACACTAAAAGGTACGATATTATAATATATGCTAGACCACTGAAAAAAAATAGTTTTTGTTTGTTTTGTTAAACGTGTTTCTTATATTTAAGGAAATTTCCCTCTTGCATCTTAGAAAATGGCAGAATGAGCATTAAAAGACGTTCAAATATAAAACAATAGCTAACATTTTCTTTATTTATCTTCTAGTGTTTGAAAGTTATTTAAAAAAAACTGGTGTATGTACTTTTGTAGTCCCGTTCAAAGTTGGACGTCTTTTTGGGTTGGAAAACGATAAAATAATAGATAAGATATTAAATACAATAAAGGTTTGATTAAATTTTTTTTATAAATTGCAAATTTTAAAGAATTTGAAAATTTTGGTAATTTTAAATTTTTTGGAAATTTTGATTTTGATTTATGCGACTGTGCACATTTTTTCTACCATTTTTTAATTTATTACACTGTGCGAAATTGTCCCACTATTTTATAATATGGAATAAAAATGTAATTTTTTGTAACATTTTTTAAATGTATGGTACTGTCCAAATTTGTCCTACTATTTTTAATTTTTTTGCCAATGTGCGAATTTGTCCTACCTTTTATACTATTTAAAACATTGTGCGAATTTTTTGCACTATTTTTAATTTTAAACTACAGTCCATTGTGTCCTATTATTTTTTTAAGGGCAGTTTTCAATTATTAAATCACTTTTTTCACTCCCACCTTTAAAACCATGAAGCCTACTCAAGGAGTGCGAACTCCATGTATACAAATGATTTTTCAAAAAAAGTGTTCTATATGTTGTTTGTACTGAAACAGGAACCGATGTTTTGTACCAAAACAGGAAACGTCACTGACGTCAGGTCAGTACAAAGTGGAAATCAGCGCCGCTAGTGAGAAAAAAGAACACGTAATTTGTGCGATTTAGTAGGCAGGTTCTGTCAATTGAGTTCGTACTCCTTGTGTAGGTAGGTCCATGTAAATGTTTTCATGACACCAAGTGATATTTTAAATACACATTGACAAGCTGTGACTTTATGGCGTTTTAGTCACGGGCTGCTGTTAGCAGCAGTGGCTTTAGTAAAAATAAAGTTCCCTTCTTGTGAAATATTACTAAACCGTAAAAAAAAATTTTGCCGCTAAAGCAAAATTTAATGTTAATAATTTCGTGGAAGACCCACTAATATCCTCTTCACTTTCACTGGGAAATACTGCTTCTATACAATATTTAAACGGTTGTTAGTCCATTTTTAAGGGAAAATTTTCGATTTTTACAGAAAAGTTTGAAAAACTAACAATGCCATTTTGAAAGTCGGTAAAACAGATCCCTAACATAAATTTGTTTACTATATGTATACATTCACTCTATACAAATATTTAAATTAATTAGTAATACATAATTTTTTAATAAATTATATTTGTTGTAGAAAAAGTATGCAACTTGTTTATTAACTTTTTTGGGAACTCATTTTATTTAACACTCGCTCGCAAGCTTCGCTCGTGCATAATTAACATTCCGGACTAAAATGGCCTTTATCAAACTTGACTTAGTTTCTTTAATGGTTACATATTTAAAGATTTTTAAAAACACAAATGTATGCATATTTTAGTAGTATAAAACAATTTATACCCCTAATGGAAAGCGGCGCCTAAATAGGAAATTAACAGTGAAATAGTCAAATTTCCTCAATTTCCTGTGAAGTTTAACTTCACTCTGACTGTTGAGTATTGAAATACAGAAATATAAGTATTTATACACAAAAGACCGGATCATTAGGCAATTTAACCAAATATGTTCTAATTCGATTAATAGTGTAATTTTTCGGGTAAATGAAGAATTTTATCATGTGATACAAAATTCGCTAATAAAAAATAGCATTATAACACTAAATATTATAGAATACTTATATCACTAAAAATAAATAATTATTTCTTTATAGTGATTTTAATAAATAATGGTAACTATAGTTAAAATTATAATTTTCAATAGTTTTTGTTCTTAATTTAAAATTGTTAACCGATACTCGAAATCTCGAAAATGCAATTTTCCTAAAATGAATTTTTCGCATACAATCCGGTCTCCAATAAACACTACAATATAGTCATTGCGGCGCATGCGCGATCCAATGCGCTCCCCTATCAGTAGTTTGTTGAGCTTTAACACAGACGCCTGAACGCGTCGCGACGGCCTGAATGGTTTAGTTTTTATGAGACGCCGTTTAATAAAAAACTTTTCCGCTTTATATTTAACGTTTATTACGCTGTGAATGTTGAGTTATTTGTTGTTTTGTGTGCTAAACTGGATTATATTTGTTGTTAGATAATATTACAGGTATATATTACTTTTTATGCGCTTACAAGTGGGTAATTAAAGTCATGAAAGCATAACAAAAGTCTTAATTATTTTTTTAGCCAGTGAAAGTTTTTTTATGTTGTCACAGATATTAATTTATTATAGCAGATGCTTAAAAATATAAATATAAATTTTATTTCCAAATGGAATTTTTCAAGCGTTAGCAATATGTCGCTTTTACAAATTATAAATATTAAAATTGTTCTTTTTTAAGTGGCTTAAGGTCTATTTTTATTTAATTTGTTTGGCATTCAAACTAATAATACGTTTTTAATGATATTTTTGAAATGATGTCATATAAGAGTATAAATCCGGTACAAATAAACCAATTAAAAACATATTAATTATAAAAAAATTTAAAGTAATGTTTTTTTTTTTAATTTTTGTTATAATAATATTTTGCTAAATCTAGCAACATTAAAATGTAAAATTTAACATTATAACTATTAATACCTACCTATAGCTTTTAAACAAATATTTGAAATTTAATTCAAAAGAATTGCTACACTTTTTTTAAGAAATTCTAACCCAAAAGTAGAAAAATACATACCTACATCAAAAAAAAAATTTACAGAACTTCATCTTTAAAATCCATTTAAAATTATTCAATATTTTTCTTCTAACAAATCTTTTTTTCAATTTTAGCCAGGTTAGAGAAAGATGAACTAAGAAGCCGAGGAAGAAACGTCAGAAGAGAGGACCCAAGGAGACACACCCTTGGTGGTGATCAGCATTATTTAACCATGGCGGGGCAAGGGGGTCCTCTATCCAGAACCATGGATCTAGAGGTAAATATTAAACGAATATTTCCCACTAAATCCCATGTTATATTTGACATTTTTCCAGGGCCAGCCTCGAGGTTATGGTCTCCACTCCAACGCCATGTTATTCGACGATGACCCAGGTATAATGTCCGAAGTCGAAACGAGTTCCACAGGGTTCAGACGTGGAGGAAAACAGAGAAGTTCTCTACCAGTTGTAAGAACGCCCAGTAAAACATTGGAGAGACCACTAGGTACATATGCGCAGGGTGATCCACACCTACAGTACCATGTTTTAAGAAGACCTTCTGGAGAACATGGTAAATATTGTGGATCATCCTGTATACTATAGAACATCTGTTTAATGATTTAGAAACATAAATACACTCAGGATATTTATTTTTCTAAACGTGAATTATGGGTCAAGCTAATTGATAGACAATCTTGTGTTTGGGTTAAATATAATGTTGTGCAACGTTTATTTTAGGTTTGGTATTTTTACAATATCGCAATGAAACGAAGCGAGCTTTACTACCAAACGAAATTACTTCAATCGACACTGTCAAAGCTTTATTCGTACGATCTTTTCCGAAACAGCTCACCATGGAGTATTTGGATTCTCCTAATGTTAAGATTTACATACACGACTCTTCCAAGGATATGTTCTACGAGCTGGAAGACCTAAGGTCTCACTTGCGTGAGATCAGGGACCGCTCAGTTCTAAGACTATTTGAGTCAGCTGATGTATCAGGAGGATTGCCAATGGCAGGAATAGGGATAGCAGGAGGAGTGGGACATTTTGAGGACCCGAGTTACTTCTCAGAACCAGAATTCGATTCAGAATATCAACACCAACACATCCACAAAAGCAAGGTTAATATGTTTAATATGTTTGAAGTATGTTTTTATTTTTTGCTTATTATTATTTTATTGAATAAACGTTTATTATTATTTGCTTTATGATTTTTTGTATTATTATTATTAGTAGTAGTAAAAAACGATTTAGGTTTTATATTTTTTTATTAAAAATGCACCATACGTTATAAACTTTGGCAACTGAAGATACAGTAGATGGCTGGTAACTATAAGAATAATACTATGAGAAAAATAAATACAAATGACATGTTGACAATAATTATCTAAAATACTGTGCATTGAGCAATAGCAGGGGCATATGTAGCACCGTAAAGTTTTTTGGAGACAGTCCTCCATCCAATAACCAAAGCTTTTTCGAACGGTTCTTCATCACAACCAGTACAAATGTTCATTACTGCCTTAGATTCAGCTTCTGCAGGTTCTCGTTCGTCGTTCTGTTTTTGTTGGGTTAAAATTGGTTGGTTTTCACCTATTGTGGCTAGACCTGATATTGCACCAAGGTTGGACCCTTCGAAGAAGTAACCACCCGCCAAAAACAGTTCTCTTTTGGTTTTACTTTCTGTTTTTTCTGACTGTCTTTTGAACAATTTTTGAGGTGCAGATTCTTGCAGAATGAAATTACCGGGGTGTTCCAAATTGCTCGATAACAACTGCGTGTTACCCATTGAGAATGTTTGACTTGAGAACGGTTGCGATGATTTTTGGGCGCCATCTTCAATCAAATTAGGGTGTGGAACACTCTCAAAGACGAACTGAGGAGGTTGTTGCTGTATGGATTGCTCTTGCTTAGTTTGCCCTCTCAAAAACTGTTGCGTGACGGTATTACCCAGGAACTGCCCATTCAAGAATTGCGCGTTAAACGTCTGACCTTGAAATACCTGAGGTTGAGGTAGATTAGGTTGCTCGTTGTTTTTAGCACCGGCAATGTTAATTCTAACTGTGATTTATTTGACCGCCTGTTAGGAGTAGATGCGTTGGTAGCGTAGGTGCGTAGGTCTGTTGTTTGGAGTGGTGATTGGGATTTGTATTATTTTTATTAGTAGTAAAAAACGATTTAATTTTTATATTTTTTTTATTAAAAATGCACCATACGTTATAAACTTTGGCAACTGAAGATACAGTAGATGGCTGGTAACTATAAGAATAATACTATGAGAAAAATAAATACAAATGACATGTTGACAATAATTATCTAAAATACTGTGCATTGAGCAATAGCAGGGGCATATGTAGCACCGTAAAGTTTTTTGGAGACAGTCCTCCATCCAATAACCAAAGCTTTTTCGAACGGTTCTTCATCACAACCTGTACAAATGTTCATTACTGCCTTAGATTCAGCTTCTGCAGGTTCCCGTTCGTCGTTCTCTTTTTGTTGTGTTAAAATTGGTTGGTTTTCACCTATTGTGGCTAGACCTGATATTGCACCAAGGTTGGACCCTTCGAAGAAGTAACCACCCGCCAAAAACAGTTCTCTTTTGGTTTTACTTTCTGTTTTTTCTGACTGCCTTTTGAACAATTTTTGAGGTGCAGATTCTTGCAGAATGAAATTACCTGGTTGTTCCAAATTGCTCGATAACAACTGCGTGTTACCCATTGAGAATGTTTGACTTGAGAACGGTTGCGATGATTTTTGGGCGCCATCTTCAATCAAATTAGGCTGTGGAACACTCTCAAAGACGAACTGAGGAGGTTGTTGCTGTATGGATTGCTCTTGCTTAGTTTGCCCTTTCAAAAACTGTTGCGTGAAGGTATTACCCAGAAACTGCCCATTCAAGAACTGTGCGTTAAACGCCTGACCTTGAACTACCTGGGGTTGAGGTAGTAGGTTGCTCGTTGTTTTCAGCACCGGCAATGCTAATTCTAACTTTGTGGTTTATTTGACCGCCTGTTAGAAAGGGGTGCGTTGGTAGCGCAGGTCTGTTGTTAGGGGTGGTGATTGGGATTTGTATTATTATTATTATTACTAGTAAAAAACGATTTAGCTTTTATATTTTTTTTAATTAAAAATGCACCATACGTTATAAACTTTGGCAACTGAAGATACAGTAGATGGCTGGTAACTATAAGAATAATACTATGAGAAAAATAAATACAAATGACATGTTGACATTAATTATCTAAAATACTGTGCATTGAGCAATAGCAGGGGCATATGTAGCACCGTAAAGTTTTTTGGAGACAGTCCTCCATCCAATAACCAAAGCTTTTTCGAACGGTTCTTCATCACAACCTGTACAAATGTTCATTACTGCCTTAGATTCAGCTTCTGCAGGTTCCCGTTCGTCGTTCTCTTTTTGTTGTGTTAAAATTGGTTGGTTTTCACCTATTGTGGCTAGACCTGATATTGCACCAAGGTTGGACCCTTCGAAGAAGTAACCACCCGCCAAAAACAGTTCTCTTTTGGTTTTACTCTCTGTTTTTTCTGACTGTCTTTTGAACAATTTTTGAGGTGCAGATTCTTGCAGAATGAAATTACCTGGGTGTTCCAAATTGCTCGATAACAACTGCGTGTTACCCATTGAGAATGTTTGACTTGAAAACGGTTGCGATGATTTTTGGGCGCCATCTTCAATCAAATTGGGCTGTGGAACACTCTCAAAGACGAACTGAGGAGGTTGCTGCTGTATGGGTTGCTCTTGCTTAGTTTGCCCTTTCAAAAACTGTTGCGTGACGGTATTACCCAGAAACTGCCCATTCAAGAATTGCGCGTTAAACGCCTGACCTTGAACCACCTGAGGTTGAGGTAGATTAGGTTGCTCGTTGTTTTCAGCACCGGCAATGTTAATTCTAACTCTGTGGTTTATTTGACCGCCTGTTAGAAGTGGATGCGGTGGTAGCGTAGGTCTGTTGTTAGGGGTTTTCGGCGCGGGGGTGGTGATTGGGACGCCGTTGTGGTCGAACTTGTGGGCGTGGTGATGTTTATGGTCTTTGTGCGCTTTGCCGGCGGTTAAGGCAACGCTGTACAGTTGCAGCATTGTCAGTTCTCCTTGTAACCCGACTGCAGCGGCTGGAATTACAGAATTAAGGGTTTTGGTCGTATTTTTTGTGTTGTGGGGTGAGTTACCTTTGTTTTCGTCTTTGTTGAAGTCTTGGCCGGATATTGCCGTGCCATAACCTGGGATTACGTGCCCAACGAGCTAAAAAATTATCTAGTATAAAAATATAATAATATTAAAAATGATTTATTAAAAAGTTTAAAAATCATCAAAAATCTATAAAACCCACAGCAAATAACCTTGATTATAAGAAAATAGATATATTAAAAAAAATCATTACAAAAATGATATTTTGGCCAAGAAATAAAAAAGAATTATTTATATTTCATTAAATAATTAAATTTATCAAAACCGTACAGGATGATCCCCTATAATGTCGCCCCCTTTAACCTTGTTATTTTAAGTGTCCCAAAAAATTAAAAAAAGTGGTTATGTAGGTAGTAAAAAATACTTTTTTCTACGTATAAAATAAATTGAAAATTTATCAAAGTACAGGGAATTCGAAATGTTAGCCTTAAATGTTTTTTAAACTGTTAGAAATTAAGATGCCTCATTATACCGAAATTTTTATTGAAAATAAATTACTATAGTGACATTATGTCAATATATGTCTTGTTAAATAATTAAAAATGGAGAAAGACAAACTATTTCAACTTATTATCTTAAAAATAATTTAAATATTTCAGAAACGGTTAAATTTAGGTATATGGTTTGTTATATAAATTATGCTCAGAATTTTACAAGGAATCTAAAAATAATTCATATATAGGGTGATCCATTGAAAAAAAATAAACTTTTTGTTTTTCCCTGTATCCTGATCAATTTTCCAATTTTCTTTATATATAAAAAAAGAAGTATTTTTTTAGTACCTACATAACCACAGTTTTAAATTTTTTGAGACACTTAAAATAAAAAAGTTAAAGGGGGGCGACATTATAGGGGATCACCCTGAATTTAATAGTTTTAAAAATATTATTAAAAAACAAAAAAAATTGTAGTTTAAAAAAAAGTCCAAAAAATTGTAGGTATATCCAAAAAATATTTAAAATTAAAGAATTTTGGCAAATTAATAATAATCATTGCAAAATATTGCAAAAATGTAGTTTTTTGTGAAAAATATTAATTTTATAACATAAGTATTTTTAAGATTTTTTCCGTCCCATTCTATTCATAAAATTGGTTTTACGGAATAAAAATGCATTTTTGTGAGAATTTATCAACTATGTACTTTCAAAATTAATTACTTTCAAGTACCTAATTTAAGTATTATTGCAATAATGCCTATTAAAACCCAAGCCAGTTTTTGTTAAAAATATTAATTTTATAACATAAATATTTTCAAGATTTTTTTGACAAGAACTTTTTTAATTTTAATTTTATCTTAAAAAACTTGTTTAAAGCGATGTTATTCTTAAAATCAGTTTTATAGTTTAAAATGCGTTAATATTGACTATTTTACAAAATTTATTATTTTTCTCAAAGTTATTTAAGTTTTAATGCACAAATGTTTTTTAAAGCCTAAATTGCCCAAAAAAAATCAATAAAAAATTATAAATTATATATATATATAATAGAATATTATAATACAAGTTCATACCAAAAACTTTATCGCTCTAGTGACGAAAATTACAAACACGAGCCTATTTATTTATTTTTTAAATAATGGAAAGTGAATTTTTTTGAAATTTTAGATAAGTTTCAATTTCCAAAATTTTACAAATTTAAAAAAATAAAATAGCTCGTGCCTGTTGCTAGTGCGATAAAATCTTTCTTATACACTTGTTTTATAATACACTATTATAACACCATTGTTTATTTCGCAGAATGATAATTTTATATAAATTAAACTTTAAATGTTAATTACTTAACATATTTTTAATTCTCTACAAAAATTTTTACTTTTATTGTCAGTGTTTTCATCAACGACATAAAAATTCAAAGACCAAAAATTTTGTATGTTATTTCCATAAGATACTTCAAATACAAAATTGGACGCACAAA